TACCACATCCTCTGACCTCCCATTCAACTCTTTTAATACGTAAGGGCTCGGTTCTTTTCCGTTTGGTTTGGGTCTCGCCCTGCAGGTATAATTAAAATAAAACCTCGTGAGTGACTGCCAGATGTTTGTAGTGCAAAATAATCTCATTTCAACGCAATCGAGTAAAAAACGAATAAAATTATAATAATAAATGTCCACTGTCAGTTATATATCTTGCCAATTACAAACCTGACCTTTGATCCCTGTCTTTAGTCCAATAAACCCTGGGTACAAAATAAGAGAACACTTTGCAAACGTTGTCGATGGCTTGTCTGTTGCGTTGATGATATTGTTGTGGCGATTAAAATATGCATGGGAACGCATGTTGAGAGCTGCTGCAGTTTCTGGTGTTTACCGCTGCCTGTTGACTGCCATCCCGCAGAAGCGCACCGAAAAGCAGACTACAGACTGCGAAGCATACCACTTCCTGCGGTTTGTTATGCATATCCGGTACTCGAACATAACGAGTGCAAATTGGATTCCAGCAAATATCCGAATTAAAATGGTAAGAGCAATGTTGATACCCTGCTATAGAGAGTTTACCAATAAAATATTTAAATATTTTTAATATATTTCACTTTTCTAATTAAACTATTAAATAGCCATTTTTAGGGATTGTGGAAGTTTAGTTTAAATTGGTCGGGATATTCATTCTAAATTTTAACTATTGCACATTTCATGTTTAGATAATGGCGCATAAAATCAGATCTCCGTGGTCAGAACGTGCAGCATTATTATATATATATATTTATATATCCCAAATTGCACATCTTTCATTAGTTTATTCTATAGTTTTAGCATAATTTTTTGAGGGGGAAACTGTGTTAGTCGAAGTGTTGTTCGCAATGCCCCAAGGTGTCATTCATTGAGGGGAAAGTTTTTATTACCACATTTCAGAATTGCCAGGGGCCACACTCCTCCAGAAGCTTTTCCGTAATGCTCAAAATTTTTTTTTTGGCTAGGAGGAGACCAATGTGTTTCCGTGGGATATTCTGTGTGGGTAGTGTTTGTTGTTTAACACTTCCGGCTCCGGCAATTGTTGCTAGTGTTGCTGTAGTTGCTCAACAAAAGCTCGATGGCGCTGTAAAATGTAATCATTGTGGCGTGTAATTAGTTTTTGTGTGTACCATATATATATGAGTATAAGTGCAGGCAGGCAGTGTGCGTGTCTGGCTGCATGTAGGTATAAATAAAATTTATTATTGCATTAACGTTGAGAGACCCTTGCCGCTCAACTCACACTCACTCGCACTCAAACTATGCAAATGTAAGCACATTTGGTCAACATGGCGAGTGTTCTGCGGGCGGGGGATGGTATGCATTTAATTGGGTATCGGGTGGTAAACGAGGGTGGTTAAAAACGTTGTCCCTCTTTCATGAATCGATTGTAAGGATTTCTTATATCCACCCACTTTTTAAACTGTGAAATTCTGTAAAGGAAAACCTTTTATAGTTTTCCACTTTTTTTTTACAAACTTGTTACAAATTACGGTCCCATGACCTTAATTTTTATTCGTGTTTTTCATTAGAAAACGAAATCTTAACAAAAAGAATGATGACGGGTGTATAAAAAAGACATTTACCCTAGCCCTTAAGTTTTTAAAAGCTTTTATATTATATGACCTAAGATACTAAGAGTCCTTCTCCTATCCCCTTTTTGATAATAATAACATCCCTCGTTTGCCCGTTCTTCATTAACTGCCATGACCGCTCGCCACATGTCGTATTAGTAATAATAATTTACACATTAGAGTTCTAGTTCTTGCTGTTCCAAATGCTGTTGCTTTTGTTGTTGCTCAATCAATAGTCAATTTTCAATGCGTGTTTTGCGTGTGTCTGTGTGTTTTGATTGGCGGTTGGCTCTATGCCCAACCACCACCCTCCCCCTTTTTGGCCAATTGATTTGTTGGTCTCTTTGCTGTCGCCACTCGATGCCCCCTGGGAGCCGGAAATGCCACGCAATTTGTTTGTTCGCACTCAAGCCGCAAACATTGTGAAATTAACTTGTTAGCCATGCACTAGGATGGGCCATAGCGAGGGGGTCAAGGGTTCAAGCAACGGGCGTGGTTGCCGTGGTAATTGACATTCGATTGGTAATGGGCGGTCTGAAAATAGCGGTAATTGGTTTGCATTTTCCTAAATCATGAGTCGAGAAGACCAAACAATAAATTTACCATTTAAACATAAATCAAATGTCAGTAATTGCTAATTTTATTGTGGTTAATTGGAGTAATTTTAAAATGATGAAGCTTTTTAATTATTGTTTTTATTAGAATAATGAATGATGGAAATATTAAATTTGATTCGAAATATAATATTTAACTTTGAGAAACGAATTTTATTATTTATTCTTTATGTTACCGTTTACTCATAAAGTAAGAGGGTATATTGTGTTCGTTGAACGGCACAAAACAGGAAGAAAAACCATTTTCCATCATATAAAGTACTTATATTCTTGATAAGGATCGCCGAAACGATTTAGCTTTGTACATTAGCTTCACCTTTCTCCTTATGATTTTTGAGATCTATAATGTAAAAGAGTTGCTTTGCCAACCGATGGCGTTCTATAAATATGTATACATGGCCTTCACTGTTACCACCTTTATTTTGAAGGTGGTTCCCATTATAAGTCGAATCTTAGAATAACTAAGGGACTTGAAAACTTAAAAACAAAAACCAACATAGAGCGATAAGAAAAATTTCAAGCAAAACTAAAAAAAATGAGATCTCGATTTATCAGGCAACATCGGAATTTTCAAACATTCATCGACACAATTCATATATCAACAACCCTTGAAAATAAACTCATTTTTTTTTATCAATCAACTCTTTTATAAACATATAAATTTGCTAGTGAAAAAATTTTAAAAATATGTCTGCCCATAATTCATTGAACATTAAAAATTCGTGCAAAATTTCTGAACAGACAGGAAGTAGACTCCAAATCAACGATGAATCGAATGAGGAGGTGGTGGGTGCCATGACATCCACGACGTCAAGTTCGGAAAGCCTTTGGTCTTTAGCTAGCGAAAGTCCACTTTGGGTTAGATCACCGCTAATCCGCTATACGAAATCGATCCCACCCTGGCAGTGCAGCCCGGCAGCCTACATAGGATATCGCTATCGAATGAACCGATAGGTTTCGTATAAGGAAATAAATATGGAAATAAAATGGTGCCAATTAAAAATTCAAAGTTTGCGTGGGTTGATATTCAAGGATCAGCTCTAAAGCAGAAGCACTTCCGTATTCCTGTTTCCGCCCCGATGCGCTCTCCTTCGGTTCGATGCAGCTCTTGCCATGGCGACACTAAGTGGCATCCAAGTTACAGCAATTCCGCACCATTCCAATTCTCCGCCTTCCTGGTGTCCGCTTGCCTGGCTTTGCGGTTTGTGTTTGGAGTTTAAGTGGCGCAAAATCAGAGTTTGTACAGTGAGAGAAATCAATCGAAATTAGAAGTTTTAACAAAAGTTGTTTATTTCGAATTGTGATTTTTATACTAAATGATTATATTTGTATGTAGAGGAATAAAGGAAAGATTACAATACAAACTTACATCCTGGGACATGAAGTTCATTTGCTTTTACAAGTGTAAAGAATGGTGGAGCACAAAGTGTAACAAGCCACGACATCCCATTGCCGATCCCTGCCCCTCTAGGCTGTCCATGGAAGGAACGATTTCATTTGCAACATCAATCGCAACCTCATCAAGTTGTCTGCTGGCAGCCGCACTCATTACGGCGATGGCAACAGAGGCAACTGCGTTTAATAAAGCGTTCGCCATCCGGCTGAGGCAAGTCAACTTGGGATGGGAGAGGGTATTATATAGAGGGGATTGATGGCGTTAGTCTGAGCCCCAGGGCGGCTGGGTTTAATTAGCTTTAATGGCTTAATGCGGGCCATCGCCGTTTGGGTCAGGTCCTGGTCATAACAGACAGGAGGTGACACAGGCCACAATCCACAATCAAGAGCCCATCCCATGGCTCTAAGTTGTTTTCGATTTGCCACCTCCTCCATGATGGCTCACAGCATTGAGCCCACCCAGGGTGTGCCACTCGAGTATTAATGGATGCCAACAGCCCCGTGACACTTTAAAGCAATTTTCCTGCCAAACAAATTTCCGGTGAAGCGCACAAAAGTTCCCTGGCCCGACTATTTATTTGCCCCCAATTGCGAGCAACTCTGCTCCGGCGGAGACTCATTCACACGTAGCACACAACTCCTTTTTTTCGTCTTGCAAACGAAACTTTGGCTCATAACTTCGCATTGAAGAAGATGCATATGCAACACGTTCCTGCCATTCCCAACTGCAATGACTCAGGCACCCAGTTACCAGTTACCAGATCCCAGTTTTCAGTTTCACCTGCTTCAATGGTGGCTTTGTATCTGGAGCTTGAAAGTGTTTGCTCACTCTGGGTTAAGGTAGTTAAAGGCTAAACTTGACAAGACTTAAAAAAGTGCCTAAAGAAGGATTTTCAAAAAGGGATAAGTAGGGCTTATAAACTATTTATTTATAACTTCTTTAAAGAAATTTTTAAATCATTTTTATTGAAAATTTCCTGCAATTAATCCTACTTCTTGATTTTTGTCAAAATTGCAGGGTATCAAAGACTAGAAACTTTTCTTTCTTTCTTTTCTTATATAGAGTAGAAGATGCAACTTTTTCTTAGCTATTAGACTTTCTCAGCCAGCACGAAATGCTGTCGGGCATTCAAAGTGAACTACTGCAAAGTAAAAGATGAGATGGGTTGAGGAATGAGCTGAGGTCTAGGGAAAAGGATGCTGATGACGAGGGAACGTAAAGTTAATTGAAAAGTATTGTTTGCTTTTTTGTGTCATTTCCACTTCCAGGATACTTAAAGACGAATTCTGATGAAACTTCTTTGTTCATTCATTTATAAAATGCTTACCATACTTCCTTTAAAGAATCCGTTGCCAAGCAAATAAGCAAAACATCATTTATTGTTATGGAGAAAGCTTTATAAAACTAGCATTTATTTATTTCACATTATGGCTCACTACCCTATTGACTGATTTACAAGCTACACTTTAAGATTATGCTAAAAATGACAATGGTCATTTTAACTTATTGCCCGTTACTAAACTGCTTGCTTTTTATGTATTTCGAAAACTTATATAGAAAGCTTAAATAATTTATTCCAAGCTATATGATATGTGTTTAATGTTGCAAGTCGATGAGGTGATAAGTAACAACATCAAGCACCCTAAGGTCTTGGTCTATACAGTATAGCTTATAAAAGAAAAGCCGTAATTTTGCTTAGCAAATTAGAACGTAGAATAAGAAAGTAATAAAACACTTTCATAGCTGTCTTTACAACCGATTATGATATATATTTAAATAAGTCATGAACCTATAATTGTGGCCTTCACTGTGTTGCCTAACCTGCTATCACGAACGAACTTATCTACAACTAATTAACAGTACATTCATAATTTTTATCAACAGTACATTATGATGAGAACCGAGAACACAGAGGGGGGATACATCTATGTAGACATTGTGCAGTGCGAAAACGACTGATAACTAGAACAGGATAACTCCACTTAAATACAGGATACAGTTGATTCGAGATTTGGTTTGTTACATTAATATTATACATTAAGCTCTATTAATCTATGAGTATTACTTGGACGCCACTCTGGATATTGGATCCTGGGACTCAGCTGAGAAAGTAGGAGTGCGCTTTCTCCTTACCATTCTTACTGATCAGTGCATTGCGTCCTAAAAGTAAATATTATTAATAAGATTTTCCAATTTACAAATTTAATTTTTATAACTCACCTTCATTTTCAGTTGTACTGGCCACGCCCATTAGTTTAAGGTTGAGAAGTAGGGCGCCCAGATTAGATCGCTCGTCCAAAGTATTTACTTTCTAACCGAACCATTCCCATCTTTTTAGACTTCGTCTGGGTGTGCCAGACAAGAATTTCTGTGCAGTTATTGCCTCGCGGTTCTATCAGATTCATTTGCAGGTCAATACTACGCAGAAAGAGATCCTCTTCATAGCCTGGCTTATACGGCATGTTTACATAGGGATATTGCGCCATATACTCCAGATTTACGGCAAACCCGGCCATGTCAACTGGCCAGCGTCGACCGGCCACCCAAGAGTCCAGGAAACCCACCACTTTGCCCTAAAGAAGAAAGAAATATTAAAACTTAGGTTACTATGTTTTTTTAGATAATATTTATAATTTATATTTAAAAATTACTGATAGCTTGAATAACCCTAAGCACGAGTCATCACGGTTATCAAGGTTGTATTCTACGAAAAAACTTACCCTCCGCACTACTGGCCCACTGACCCCGTAATCAGCTATCAGGCCGACGGGAAACATGGAAACCCGTTGAGTTTTTCGGATTTCTGAAAACAAACGCAGATCGTAGGTGTTGTCGTCGTCACCGAAGTATAGAACTCCGTTAGTAAGATTGTGCTGTCGAAGCCACTGCAAAGCGGCCCTGCGATTTGCAACGCCTCGCGGGGCTGGTTTTTCATTCCGGAACTTGATAGGCATAGGGCTCACCATGTGGGTAAAGGGAATACCTAAAAGCAAAATATTTGTTAAATTTCAAGTTCATCTGATAGTTATCAGAATTAGTTACCGAATCGGTTGAGCAGGGTGTCCAAGAAGTCGTTACATTTCTCCTGATCATCGGCCACCAGCCAGTGCAATCGCGGAACATGTAGCAGAGTGTGCGCCAGACGAGTTAGTTCTGGGATCTGCTCCCGCCGTGGATACGTTGGGGTAACAAAGTATATTATGGGCAACAGACCATAATCAGATTGCGGTTTGTCCTGCATGAACTGCCGACGATCCTCATAACTCTCACTGCAAATGTGGAGACTTTCGTTGAGTGGCCGGAAGTGTATACTATCTGTGGATGAGCAAACCGAGAGTCATAAGGTTATACTGGGTCAATTACTTTTGAAATACCATAGCCTGGTGACGTGGATTTTATGATTTAATCAGAATTCTCAATTACAAAAATAGCTCACTCATTGACCTCTGGGCGCAGTTAAGGCAGTCAGTCATAACTACGTGCCTTAGTGCCAAGATGACAATCGGACGCTACAAAGCGATGATAAACAGTCTGTGCGGTGTCTCTTAACTTCTCAAAAGGTGCTAATCAGTGTCTCTTAAATACTATGCCAAACAATAATTCACTTAAGCTTGGCTAAAATCGCAAAGATAAAGTGCCTGTCATAAAGCAAATAAACTGAAGAGCAAAGCAATTGTGGTTTAAAATGTTTGTTCTATGCATACGTATCAGAGATCTAACGTTAAAGCAGAGATCCCCAGTTAATTACTTAGTGGTTTAATCGGTGTTGGAAATCTTCCGCCTCCTATCAATGCGTTAATGTGTTTAGATCAACTGCGTGCGGCGATGCCATTAGGAAACCATACCATTAATCCATAAAGAAAAGCGAAAAGCACGCAATTGGTAAAACTAAACAGGTGAGGGAAGACACATTTCCGATATATATGACTGATAGCCGGAAACGAACAATGAAAGGCGAATAAATACACAAATTGGAACCCCAAAAATGCCGTTCCCTTCAGACCTATTGGTAACATAAAAGAGGGGCAGGCAGGCAAAAGTATTCCCTAATAAGTTATTAAATATTGACAAAGCAAATATTTCCCAAAAATGTGGTGCACCACCACCCCAACCAGACGGACTCGATCCACCATCATGTGAAACATAATGGTTTTGTGGGTATTCCGAATGACGAATATTTACGTCTACCTTCCGCCTAATGAAGATTAACATTCGCTGATATAAAACTGATTGTGGGACTGTCCCCAGAGCACGTTGTCGTGAGTTAAGTGGGGTGCCAGCACTCCGTCGACTCCATTCCCACTCATACCATTTATAACCCATCAGACCCCACAGATAAACCAAGTACTTATCGATGGGGTGCGACACCAATCTAGGCACAATCACACACACTGAATAGTTCTACGGTTAATTATGACCGATATCTAGATGATGTAGAGCGCAGCCCACAACCTGATAACAGACAATTGAGAATTCCCCAAACACCTGATCTACGAGCAGCCTTAGTCACGAATTGTTTTACGGTTCTCTCTTATCGTTTTCATTCACTCTTTTTTTGTATCACCGCACCGAAGAGATCGATTTGGCTAATGAGTACCTACGATAAGGGCAGTCAAACAGCGTAAATCAAAAAAGATGAATGACTAAAATGCGATTAATAAACAGTCTAACCAACTTTTAGTATTTGCTAAATCAAATTTTAATTAAAGTTTGTATGCAGCAGTAATAAATATCAGAATTAAGATAATGAAGCGGACTTTAAGCTTGAATGAGTAATACAGTGATATTCAAAAAAATGCTGAAAAGTGGGCTAAGTGGTGGATGGAATTTTCATTTGAGTTGGTTTATCATCATGAAGTACAGCGCACGCCACTGATAATACTATTTTATCAAATATATTAATTTAACCCACCCGCATATACAGTTTTATCATTTTTTGAGCTGATACAATATTTATCTCACCATTATAACAAAGATAATATTGCAATGTTAGGCTCAAATATTTACTCAAAACTTATCTATGAACTCCTTTTTCAAGTAAAATATTTAATATGTTTCTAAATTGTTATCTGAAGCACCTCTTACATATAGATATCGATAAAGCTATAGTCCGTTATAAATTGAAATATAAATCCCCAACCATACGTTTGAAATCAAAGTTTTATTCTACATGTGTTTCAAATTATGCTGAATTGGCATGTAGATTTATGGTGGGGCAATTCACAAATTTGTAAATATTTGTTTAGACAATTCCAATTGGCGATTGAGTTTTACGATAGCTTGCCCCAAAGTGCACAGTCAAATGTGTTTGGGGGCTCGCTTAGAATTCGATCAACAATAGCTGTGGGACAAGAGGAGAGATCACAGCAGACACTCGACACGCGCAATTGAAAAGATACTAAAAATTGAAATAGATGATCCAAATAAAACAGCACGAATGCTAGATGAATTATAAAAATATATTCAAATTTCAGGTCTGGTACAGCAAGCAACAAAAAACCTCCATGTAGCAGCCCCCTTTCTCCTCTTCATACAAGATTTTGATAAGCGTCTGAGATGTGTGAATTAAACTCACGAAATGAGAGACAATCAAGTCTATTCGCCTAATAAAAAAAACTGCTAAAAGCTATTTTTTGTTGAGAACGAGCTACTGCGAAATCTAGAGTCTAGAAAATTGTGGGGAAATATGCAATTAGACAATTGGTGCCACTCAAATCGCGCACTTTGCTCGGCTTTGTATGCTTAGATTGTGTGTAGATCATACGCCGGAAGAAGTAGACGAATTAAATTTCTAATACTAAATCTGAGCCATTTAATCAAACTCTGATAATTTGAATTTTAATTCACTTTGAAGATAGCATAATGTTGACCTTGAATTTCGATTGGCTTGTTTTCGTTCTGCAAATCCAGCTGTTATTCCGCGAGTTTAATTAGCCAATAAACAACGAAAAAACTTGAAAGAAAAGATATTCCCATATATAGAGCTTTGTTATAAATCGATATAAAAGTTGTTTTCAAGTAAACATTTTAAATTTAATACTTAATAATTTAAGCCTACTGACCTATAGATAAGATTAAACTACTGCATACATACTATAAAGCTTTCTTTATGGTCAAAACGGTCTAAACACCAAGGAAAAAGCCAAGTAAGCTGTAAAATTAGACCTTGTCCCGGCTATCGCTTATGCCAATAAAAAGAAAGACCAACAGGCGAATCGATGTAATTGCCGCTGCAGGCGAGGGTGGGTGGCCATAGATATAGTGCCTACATCCATCTATACATCGCGTTTGGGAAAGACAATAGTTACCAAATAGATCCAATTACGGTTAAATAATAAAAAGCCAACAAACTAACCAATAGTCAAAGTCGGAACGGCAATAGCGGCGAGACGACGAGTTACACTGCTATAATTACCACAGCCAATTACTCGGATATGGGTGGTGCTGTCACAACGACTTATAAAGGCTTGTTCGAGGCTTCTTTGGCTTGACGTTTGTAAATAAAAATAATCTTATGAGCGCTTAAGAAACAATTAATCTGCCCAAAAGAATTCCACATATTTTCATATTTTTTATATGCTTTAAATTGGCTTAGAATTATAAGTATTTCAAATTATTTCTAAGTCTATTTAAACAAAATAATTGATAAACTTGAGTTATGAATCATTTTAGCAAATATCTTACATATTTCTCCAACCAAAAACTAAAAACAACAAACACTTTGCCAGCACTAAACTTCCCCACAAATTGTAGGGTAACCTGCGCTTTGATTGGCAGTGGGCCAAATTAAAAGTGAAAGTGGTGGCAGAGTGGCGAACTCACTTTTGGCCAGCGGTCGTGAAAATGCACTCACTGCCCACCGAATGGGATCGAATTTAGAAGGAAGCGTGACTCACGGATATTTGCATTGAAACGATGCCGTTTCCGGATTTTTGCAGTCTTGGTTTTATGCCTATCTATCTTGAGTTCGGTTTCTTGAGTTTTATTAGTGACATTCTCCTTGAATTCTTTTCTTTCTTTCTGGTCGTGCCGAGTATACCTTAATAACCAGTCTTCGGGTCGGGTTTCCATAAACTGAACTCGCTGCTTACCTAATCCGCGATGAGATCCCTCCTCTGAGTCCTCGGAACCACCGCCCAGTCCCAGGGTGATGCGTGTCTCCCCACTGAGGGTGAAGTAGCAGAAGGCAATGAAGAACAGTGCCCCACCCGCCAGGGGCAGAAGGCAGCGGCGCCTGGCTACGGCCCCTTTCCTGACCATGGGATGAGGTGCGGTGGTTTTGACGGTGGTGCTACGTGGATGATTCGGATGTTGCCGTCGCTCGATGTCCTCGTTATCCTCGTCGGAAGTTTGTGACTCGAGTGCCTGGTAGTGGGCACTAGACATGTTTGGATTTTTTTTGGGATTTCGTCTTGGTGGGGCTTTCAGCTGGGATGGTCGATGGGGTGGTGCTGGTGCTGGTGCCGCATGCCCCGGCCATTTGTAGCGACACTCCTGGTCTATACCTTGTGATTTTTACAATCTTATTATACAACTTTTGGCCAAGGCGACCCGAAAAATTATGCAAATTCCCTAGACATATCTGCACTTTGGGTGCTCTGATTTATTTCCGTTTCGCTTGCGTCGCTTGTTGCTATAAAAAAAGGTGAACTTTTGGCCACAGCACTTCTGTCGCGGATTACGAATTACAGTTCGGAAGCACTCAAAACACACTGCTACACTCGAAAATCACGAAAAATATTGCTTATTTCAGCCCGAAACCCGCGCGCCGTGCTCTATTACTCTCTCTGCCTCTCACGCTTGCTGGGTTTATTGTATTTTATGCCGCTGCGAGTTTGGCTGTTGTTGTTTCGGTGAGTTTCTACTTGCTTATAAAAAAAAACGGGCAATTCGTTAGCAGAGAGAGCGGAGCACCCACCAACACCACCACCAGCCCAGCTGACGCAGGGTTGCATGTGGTTTGGATCTCAACTAAATACAGTACCACTTATGCACCCAGCCCTAACGGATTATTTCTGAATATTTAAATAAATTGTTTTATAATTGTTTTTAATTTATTTATGTTATTACTTTAAGCTTCTGACAGTTGTTACTTTGGTGTTTAATACTTTCAATTTACATATTTAATATACTGCCGAATTTTTTTAAAGCCATAAACATGTACATATCTGTATTTACAGACTGCAATCCAAATTTATTTAAATTTGGCAGATTTATGCAGTCTACTCCTCTTATATAACCACTTTTAAAAATTTTTTTTTTTAAATTAAAAACACACAAATAATTGACTTAATATTCTTTTATAAAGAATTCATCATACATATTCTAAACAAATTAAACACCTTAAACACGAAAAACTGTTGAAGTCCAGAATCTTATAATTATAATATTGATCTAGTCTAGACTAAGTTTTTAGTCCGGAACTACTACTACTACTACTACCTTTTAAGCACTCTCTCCACTTGACTATTGAGTGTCAAAGCTATCGCCGTATCTTATCTAATCGGCAGTTACCCGATGTTAATCGTTATTACTTAACCATAACGGGCTTTGTCTGGATATTTTGTGGCTACTGATATTTGACTAGGCTTCCATTTCACAATTTTGTTTGCAATTCTTTAAGCCCTAACCCGCTCCACTCCAGAAATTCCGGTCCAAGCTAATGTATATTACAAACGGCGAATGTTTATTACATTTATTTCTTAGCTTTTATTCTTGGACAACTGGCTACAATTGCGTTTGTTTAATGTTTTCAATAAAAAATGAACAATCTTTGTGTGATTTATTGTTTTTTGTTAATTAAGCAAATTTTACGATTAAAAGCCACTTAGTTTCTCACTTTTGTTGCGGTTCCTTCTGCTGCCACTGCATCCCATCGAACTTTGAATGCTGCACTGCAGCTTCGAGTGACTGCGAAATACATGGAACAGAAGGGACGTAGCAAACCCTGCACTTATGGAATAATTAACTAATTGTTATGAAGAGAACTCATAGGTGGATAAAGGGGACAGCTAGACGTCTATGCGCAGCCATCTTAGATGTTGGCCTTGATGACATCCTCCAGACGGGTGGCGTTGGCTCCAGCGAACTCCTCGACCTTGACACCGTTCTTGATGAACACGAAGGTGGGCATGCTGGAGACGTTGTATTCCATGGCAATGTCTTCGCAATCGTCCACATCGACCTGTTGGATAATAGAGCTTAGTAAGGGTTCGGACTTGGATGTTCACAGTTCCTTAATATAACAAAAAATATAACAACTTTCTTAGGGAAACACAAAGAATCTTAATAATAAGAAACCCACCTTCAGGACGATGACGCTGTCGGCGTACTGCGTAGACAGATCTGCCAGTTTGGGCGAGATCGCCTTGCAGGGTCCGCACCAGGTGGCGAAGAAGTCCAGCACCACCAGCTTGCCGCCGGCCTTGGTCAGCTGTCCATCGAGGTCGTTCTGTAAATGGGAATTGAAAGTGTAAATTAGTGTTATCGTTTAGTAATATCAACACAAATTAACGCTATTGATTTTCCAATCCTCCAATGACCCTATTTAATCCCCTCTCCTAAAGAAGGTGAGAGTATAATTTCAAACTTTATGATTTTAGGTTATCAAGCTTTGATCCGATAGCGATGTAAATGTACATATGTATATATATGTATAGGGGAGACCCCATCATTATCTTGGACATGTACGCGATAAGGCGGTTCTGTTCTCACACAAAGTTGTCAGACATCCCCAAAGTTGCCAAGTTGTAATCAGCCATAATAATCAACGGCCGACGGGTTCAATATTTGTGCCTCGAAGCTATTGGCAACAAACTTGTGAATTTGGGAATATTTCATTACAATTTCTGTATTTGACCGAGTTAGGAAAAAATCAATATTTCAAGAATTTCGAAATTATATGCATGCTAAGAGGTGTGGTGTGGTTGTGGGCAGTTCCTCTTCCCTTCCGCCCACCCATTGTTCGGCCCATGACACGTTTTCCCAGTGACCTTTAATTAATTGCTGGCGATGGCAATCGTAGAACACATGCAAAGAAATAGCTCTAATGAAACTGATGATTTCAAATGGAATGAGCAACCGGTTTTGGTGGAATTTGAATAAGGCATTAAGTAATTCTAACTTGATACAAGTTGTTCTTATTAACATAAAAACTCTTGTTCCCTGTTACATATAATGGTCAGGCTGAGATCATTTTCATTGCAGACTCATAGATTTCAGATGATTAAGATGCTGATGGTTGCTGGTGACTATTAAAGACTATTCCATTCAAAGATGACGCAAACTTGTTTAGGAATATTGAAAACCAGTGAATCATTGTCTAATATGAGATCTGAGTAACAATGAAAAAAATGGCAATTAATACGCAATATTTTTAAATTCCAAATCTGACCCTTAGTTGTTGATTAAATTAATTCTAGTGTCTTCTATTTGCCTATGATAAGCCCATTTCTATAATCGTAATACATTTTTTGTGGCTTTATGTATAAAATTAGACCTCAAAGAGGGGCAATGTTTGAGAGTGTTCTATATATAAAAAAATATATATAAGAGAATATTGGGAAACAAAATAATCAGAAATGCTTTCAAGTATTTACTTTTGTATGTCACTGACGTGATATTAGTATTTATGAAAAGTTGCGCACGACCGGTTCTTAGTCTCCCCCTTATTCCCGTGGAAATCCCATTCCTCTTTCAATTTTACAGCATTTCTTATGGCGCGCAACTTTTTGAGCACACCCTGTGATATAGCGACTATACTTCTAACCAACAAACCAAGCCTCGACCACGATAATGAATTGCAAACTCATGCCAGACGGACATACACATATACATATAGATAGCTTTTATATAGTATATAGTTGGCACTATGTCAGATTAGTGAATGGAACTCTAGGCAAGCGGTTAGGGAATTTCAAAATTTCGGTTTACGCTGAGACCCGCTCTGCGGTCCATTTGATGGGATGATATCATTATCTTTCGCTATTCGAACTATCTCGTCTCGTATCCGCTTTCTTACTCGTTATAACAGTACGTCGGCCCTATTCGTATGCAAGAGCGTATGGCAAAAAGCGTAGAAAATCCAATCATTCGGACTGACTGGCTGGGTAATTGGAATGCCGATTCCATTTACCATATTTTCAGTGCCTCGAGCGAGAAGCACTCAGAACCCAAAGGGTCAAGGGTTGGGGCTATTAGGTTACCCAATAGTTGCTGATACGAAATGGATAGTTTCAAAGATCCGGTTGAAATGACTCACCTTATCTTTCACCTGGTACACCATGTTGACTGGGAAATGTAGATTTGGAACCGGTAGAAATGTACAAAAGTTACTTAATTAGCACTCGGGCAGCTCTTCAAACCACGCAGCTAGATTTTTTTTCAGCAAAGAGCACGGTGCGGTTGCTTTTATAGATTTTTTACTCTCGTCAAAAGATGCCGCTCTCTCTCACGCTCTCCCTGTAGCGCTGGCGGCGACGCTTGGTGAAGGTGGGTTATGCGAGGTAGATTGATCGAATTTCAACTCTGCAATGGTTCGATGCTAGTACGCTAGAGGGCGTCCTAATAAATAATTATATTTATTGGAAACTTAAAAATACATGTATATTAAATGGTAAATTGTTTTAGCTATAAAAGGACATTTTTTGTTTCTGTACCTTTTTTTCAACAACAAAATTTCTTAATTTCACTTATAAGTTTTTAAAATACCGATAGTTTTTTCTCTAAGTATTGAAGGCGACATTGCAATCCGACAAGAATTTTTCTCTCTCTCTCTTTTAGATACTATTGTCGTCTGTGGTGAGTTAGTCCGAATTCGACTTCGTAGTGGTTCTATACGGTTACGGTAGGGGCGCTAGTAAAAATGTTATAAGAATGAATGAAACCTACATAAAAATATTATTTATTTGGACTTAGAATCGTTAATTTTATTCAATCATTTTTAAGCTAAAAGTTTTGTTTTATGATACACTTTGGATGATTATTTATAAAAATACAATTTGTTGTCCCTTGGTATGCTTTCTACATATCTTTTTACACACAGCGTCTCCTATCTCTGGTTCATAGAACCTGCCGTAAAACGCTGTTAAAATATTTAAATTTTTGAAATTTAGTTCACCTTTTAGCCATTCAAAAAATTGGCACTCAATGTATATAATTTTAGAAATCAACATTTTTAATAATTTATTTGCCGAAGAAAACAATGATAAAACTTTTTAACACTATTCGTACAGATGGAAATTAAGATTTCACAACTTATCCTAATGCTATGGTACTTAATGTATCTATCGGCTATGAGTAATCCTCCGGTGTCCGGAACTATTAAGTACTATTCATTGGGTGGCCGGTGGGGCCAGTGCTGTCGTTGCCGCCGAATGGTGCAAGTGGTGGTGATGGTGATGGTGGTACGTCAGCGTGGGCGGTGGCGGTGGAGGAGGTGGGTGGCCAGGTGGGGGTGCCACTGCCGGAACACTGGATCCTCCGGCTGACGTAAAGCCACCCGCTGCAACCATTTGTTGTTCGTAGCTGGAGTAGTGATCGTAGTAGCTCCCGTATCCGGTGTCCAAGCTGTTTCCACTCGCAACATTTCCCGGCGCCGTGGTGGTTCCAGTATCGAAGTAGCTAACTCCATTATAACTACTGCCACTCTCGTAGTAATGATGCCCAGCGGATTGATTACCCCCGAATTGCTGGTGCGTCGACTGGTGGTGCTGTGGATGGTGGTGCTGCTGCTGCATCTCGTACTCCGTCTTGGGACTATAGTAGTAGTCATAGTTATCCTCCACATACGGCTGAGTTTCCACGGTGGCATTGTACTTGATGGTGGGCGGCACACCCGCCCCAGGTTCACCTTTGCAGGTGATTTCCTCCTGACCACCACAAAAGTGCTTGACCTGCGAGTAGTTGATGAACTCCGGTTCCGGTGTAGCCAGTTGTGGACTGGAATCGTAAGTTAGGCCCTGACACTGGGTATGTCCATGTACGGAAGCACCCATGGTGTATGCATTCCCACTGGATGATTGCTGGTATGCGGCCAGTTCCGAAATGCTGCAAGTGTAGGGCAAACTGGGTGATTTACTTGGTGCCGCTGTTGCCGCCGCCGGAGTTGCATGGTAGATGGGATAGTTGTAGGTAATGTGCTGGTGGTTGACCGTAAAAACATTTGCGGCGGTCTCACAGGGCGCCGAAGACTCAGATCCACTCAGAGGCCAGGAGTTGGTTCCATAATTCGATGACTGCGACAATTGGTGACTCCTCGCTGTGGTCGTGTCCTCCAGGTAGCTGCAGGTGCAGTGGCTGTAAGTTGTGCACTTGCCACAGGCTGATGAGAAGGCAAATTGTTATAGGAATTTAACAAAAGTAATATTAAATCAAAAAAATCGTATAGTTATTCTGAGGATGATAATTAAGCTTACCATTGTACTGGTATATATCCAAAGCGGAGTGTCCCAAAGGATTGCTGGCAGCAGGACGCTTCAGGACCTTGCTTATCAAACTATGTTGTTGCTGCTGTTAAAAAATAAATTAAAGATAAAATTTCCAAAAGCCAAACTCTCTATTTAAACTCACCTTAACCTGCTTAACCAAGCCTGCAATGACCGACTTCTTTCCGACTGATCCATTGGCAGACTTTCCTCCCAGCGTCACCCTGCCAAAAGCCCTCTTGGAAACACTGGAGTTCTTCGGATCCGGTCGCAAGTGATCGTGCACTCCCTTGGCCTGAAAGAAGATGGCATTGCCGGAATGCCGCCAAAAGTGGGTGACCGGATAGCCACAGTGTCCGCGACACGGTTTGATTTCCAGTCTTCCGCCACGACAACTCTTGTTCGGACAAGCTTTGCCCTCCTGCTTTCGCCGGGCTTTGTCGCAAATGGCCGGACGAAGGTTAATCTTCGATCCATTGGGAAGTGTACAATGCTGGGAGCAGACCAGGACTCCCAGGCAGCTCTTCTTGAGGATATTAACATTGTGATTGTTCGTATTTCGCATGGCCCAGCCGGATATATGCTTTTTGGCCTCCTCGTTGTGCAGCGAGTAGATGTGCCTGACATGACCATCGCTCCACTCATTGAACTCGTCAAACTCCTGATCCGGAACATGTGGCACAATGGCATCATTGATATCCCATTCCCGTTTGCCCTTGCCCGGTGCCGCTGCCGGCATGGTCATGGAGCCAGCTGTTTGCTGTTGACCAGGACTTGGATTCGGACCCTGACTCTGCAACTGAAGGAATTGGGACTGCTGAGAATGTTCGGGCTGCTGTGTGAGTAGTTGCTGCGTCTTGAAGGTGTAGCCATTTCTGTGAAAGATTAGGTATATACTTAATGTGAGTTCAAAATTGAATTCTTGTTTTTATAGTTAAATATTAGTAATGAAATAGGAAAGGGAAATGGCTTGCATGATAAAACAAGGAAAAAGCTTTACATTTATACAAACATTTTTCTAATTTTTAAGTTCGCTGCTTGTATGTATTACCTACAAGACCTCCGCAATCCACGAATTTATTTAGGAAAAACGCTCTGAGTCACAGTTTGATTCCCAATAGCAAGACTTTTATATTACCACATTTAACCTCAAGTAAAAACTTTAAGTGATCCATTTAAATGTGACTTAATCGCTCAAGCCTAAGCATCGTTTAAGGAATTGAAATCCTATCTTAATGGCGCCCTAAACTGTTTCGTAGGGGTCCAGATCAGCTAACGCCAATCAAATGAAACGTTTGTGAGGTTTATGAGCGCCATGAAACGCTTAGGTCTTTAGGCCCAGTTTAAAGGGCTGGTACCGTTAGCCCCAAAATCTACTCCGGGAAGTAATTCAAGCTGGTCAGCATCGTAATTCGAGCGCCAGGTCAAGAGGCGGAGGGAAAGCAAATCAAGTGAGTCAGCTTGGTATTGCTAGACTCGATGGCCCTTTAGTCGAGATCAGTCAAGATCAGTCGATATTCTCGATGTGTGGGAGTTATTAGAGGCTCGCTCTGCAATTAGCAATAAATTTGTTTGGAACATCGATCGTTCGGTCGGTCGGTCAGTCGGTTGGTCCCCTGAGCGTTTTTATGTCTACTTGGAAGTCAGCAGGTTGCACGCTCTCTAACACCAAATACCTGTGCGAGGCCCGGCCTGGGACCTCTTGGTGGTCTCTGGGTTCCCCCGTGATTGAACCTGTTCGTGGTTAGTGGCTCGCTTTGTTTTGGGTTCGTAAATTGACTGCTCGACACTTCGGGGCGCTCGTTAGTCGCGCTTATCTGATGCTGATAGCGTCTCACTTCGTTCCCGATCTGTATTCTATTTTGTGGGTTTTGGGCCCTAGGGCTCATAATAAGTTTGTCACCTAGAAAATATGTCTCTATAAATCGAAGGGACTGGGGGGTATCATCATCAGCTCTTTGACCCTTTCACTTGAGTGCCGCTCCGCCTACGTCTGTGTGTGGTCCGCCAAGTCACAGATCCCCAGATCCGAAATTCAAAATCCGAGGCACACCCCGCGGCTCTTTGGAGCGGTCTGGAGTCGGAGTGCCATTAACTAAGCTGTGGCCCATGCTCAGCGTGATAATAAAGCGTTTGAAATCATTTACATTTTTCCTAACCTCCCCCGCTGCCTATTTAACGTTTGATTTGTGGCCCATTCTTCATCTGAGATTGATCTGAGGTGTTTCTAAGCTCAACACTTACGCAGATGCTGGGCTTTAACGCGTGTCAACAAAGATTCAATGGGCTTAGATTAGGAGTAATTATTGCTGTGATGTTTCTGAGTCATTATATGGATGTAAGATAAGGACAAACAAGGCATCTAAAAACTGTATCAGAATATTTAATATAACTGAAAGATCTAATAAAAGTAATCTATTAAGCTAATTTTATGATGTTTAGGGTATGTTTGCTCTTGAAGAATAATGATTTTAACAAACTTAAAACATATAAGGGAATAACTAGTTTGTCAAACTTAAAATAAATAAATAAATAAATAAATAAATAAATTGGCAAATAAAAATGGAAAAGAGTGGAAAATGAACTCCTACTATAAGTAATATAAAAGCAAAAGCAAATCCTTGCGGTTTATTTTTACTATATATATTTAGTGCTTTCAATGGGAAAACTTCACTTTATGGCACACATTTTTAAATAAATCTACAAATTAGTACCTTTACTAAGCATTTATAACTGTTTTAGATAGAAAGCTACTGTAAAGGAACCTTTCTCCAACTTACATAACAACCATATTCCAAATGAAACAGCTTCTTTAATCCAGATAATAGTCGGTGTAAAAAGTATAACCAATAAACATTCAACTGAACACTTAAATGAGTTTTCTGAGTTTTGAAAGCTCTTCAAACTTGCCACACTTGAGCATTGTAATCCAATTAAGGCGGCACTTGCAACAACTGGTCACTTGTATTCCGCGGATAGCCGTCGCTAGTTGAAGTTTCTCGGATTGGATACGATTGGATTGAATTGCGCACGCGACTAGAGACAACCGTGAGAATGACGACCTTTTCGCTGGGCAACGAAAACAACCTGCAGGGCGGGATGTGCGAGCGTATCTGGCGGATTCGAAAAACAAAAGAGCAGCGGCAGCAGCACAGCAGCACAAGCAGCAGCAGCAACAGCAGACAAAAACAAACTTCGGCGAGCGAGTGGTGCCAAGTTTTGTCAACAAAGGAATGGTATTATGGCTATAGCCATAGCCAGCTATGTCTCTGGATGTGTATGGCTCCACCTACAAAAACCAACAAAATGCCAAAAAGAGGCGGGGAAGCGGGAGATAGCGGGGCACAGGCGTTGTAGCGACGAGCCACCCGCATAATTTGCCAAAAACTCCACGCAAGCACGAAGAGGAGCCGTCGCAGCTGGCAGAATGGTAAAACGTATCCGTCAGATACATTGCCTTCCAGGCACTCACTCACTTCCAGTCGTCGTCGCTCCTCAACTCCGATTGGTCGGATAAACACACACACACTCGCGCCATTCATTCCATCGCATCAGCGGGTTTTCTCTCTTCCGAGAGTTTTTCCAGTTCCTCGGGGATGGAGGAATTTTCTTGTGGTGGGGGTACTACATACTCGATAAGCATCACAGAAATTTAATTACTTATTATGCCCCTTATCAGTGTCCATTGTTCTGTTTAATTCTGTTTAAGGATTTGACAACAAGAAAAAAAACAACAAATGGAAACCTTTGGGAGAGTTTATCGTTGGGAATGTTAGCCAGATTAGTGGAATGATTAATGGACTGGGTAATATACGATATAACAATGTACATAACACATTCCGATAGCCGAAATGATGGCTTTTTGTTTTGGGAATACTAAAAATACGAAAAAGCTTTATTTGAAAAAATAATTGTAAAAGAAAAAATTTGAACACTGAAGGTTTCTCTTCTTTCAAAAGTCAATAAATAAAATCTCGTTTTGATGTAGAAAAATAATGATACTGCAATTGGAGATAAAAAGCCTAATATTATTTAAAATTGTATAAATATTTACATTTTTATATATCACCCCTTTCCAGCACCGTCTCTCTTTTGGTCATTGACTTAAAAGTAACGTTTATTAGAAGCCACAACATGAGAATACACAAGTGGCAGCAATATCAGGGCCAGATCAGCCAGAGGGTGAACTTCTTTCGGGGCAGGGACGGGGGCACTTCTGGGCCTAATGTTAGCTGCGTCTTTTGTTTTCACCTGATCAGCCCGCATCGCCATTTGGGCCAAAGTTACAGGGCATAGAAAAATAAAATACAATTTATGCGTCCACTTGGTAGCACACACACAATTAACAGACATGGCCAAGAAGAGCAATTCAAGAAGGGGAGGGGAGAAGAAATGGAGGAGCAAATAGGCGTTAAAGTGAAAATTGAAAATGCCGTTGACAGGAAATGTACAGAAAATGGTAACAAAAGTGGCAGCGCGACCAGTGGCAACTGTTGCTGCCGCTGTCTCTGCTCAGCGACTGTGACCCGTAATTAAAAAGAAAAACAGGGGCAGGAGTTGGTAGATGGGGCTCGGACTCCGACTCCGAGTGGATATACGGGATTGGGCCTGGAGACGCGTAACTACGCGGTACTAAGCGAACGACCTGGAAATGGCTGCTGTCGCTGCTGCTGCTGCTGCTGCTGTTGTCGCTTTAACGCTCCACAGCAAATGATACGGGTGACAAATACATTTAACATATATGTTTGTTTCTGCCTTACAACCATAAAGTGGTAGAAATTTTCACTATTTTACAACTACCTAAACAGTTTACCCAACTAACCATCTCGATCCGGCATTATCGTTCAGGCAGCTGCCTTTGGGGTTTTCTCAATTAATTGCCTAACATTATTTTATAAGCATTCGTAGTTTAATGTAGGTACACACACCCGGTGTGGTCCCACCTCAAAGTTATAGATCCAGAGTCACGCTGGGATCGAGCTGATCTCTAATGAGCGCGTGCTCTGAGAGCGCCAAGCTCCAGCTGTTCCAAGAAGGGCCTGTCATTGGGGTCTCTCGGTGCGGGGTCTTATAGTGTTTTCCTCAAAAAAAATATTCCATAATTTGGTTTTTGGCGCATCAAATTAATCATCGATCTGTTAAAATAAATACAAACTGGTGTACATTGTAATGGATTTCCAACTCGAGATTATGACCTAAAAATATTAATAATTAATTTGGTAAAATGCACTAAGAGAAATGTTATTGTCAAGAAAGTTTATAGCAATTAAAGAGTATTTTCTTTTAATTTTAAAATGTAAGCCTTAACCAGAAAAGCTATAGTCACGACTGCAATCAAAGCTTACCCTAATTAAGAAAAATCTCGCAGACAACCTTTGATATTGATGACCCCTATGGCGACTGGCGCATAGATACTTGATTGTTGACATATTCCCACAAATTGTTTCTTCGACTGTAGCTTAATCTCGGACCACAGTGAAGTGTGACTTTTGTGGCACCCAGCAAAGACAAAGACCGAAGGCAATTTTTCCATTTACGCAATTAATTGGCCGTCACGCTGGGAGGTCCGCTAATAGACCAAGTCAAAGACATAGACCCTAGAGCAAAGCTCATCGCACAACTTCGTTGGATTAACGATTTTGCCTATTGACTGATTGCTATCCCGCTCACATCACCCACAAAAATATCCCAGCAACAACAATAATGCGAACAAGAGGAATTGATTTTTAGTTAAGGTTTTTTTTTTTGAGAAATTTTTAACAAATGTTTTGGGAAGCCCTCGACGTGTTAGGCCAATGCTAATGGGCCATCTTGGAGTCGTGGTCTTATAAATGAAGTCGATTAGAACCCAATTACATGGGTTGAATGCTTCGATAGCCGCAGGACAGGACAGCTTCCCAGGGCGAATTACTTTTGATCGTAAAATTATGACTCATAAATTTAATTTTATGACTTCTTTCGCCTAACAGAAAATCAAGAGAAAAAACCATATGAAAAAAGAAGATATCAAAAGTACCGAGAATCGAGTACCGAATATACTGCCAATGTAAGGCAGGTAAGGTGCCAAAATTACGCTGATTGAGAACTGTAATTTTCGCACCGGAGGTGCTTAAAGACCCTGCCATTTCCTCATCACTTAAATTACCCCAAATCGCATCGCTGCCGGAGTTTCGCTGTCCTACACTTTAATCAGCTAAATGGACTGTTGAAAATTCGGCACATTCGCGGCATAATCAACCCCGCGGAGTTGGCTCCCGACATCGTCATCCTCCCTCCAAGTTATTGTTTGCATAATGAGCTTGGGGCGGGATCCCATTCCGGGCCTAATGCGCTCTGCTCATGAGCAGCTTGATTGGGGGACGGTCACTGCTGTTTCAGTGGTATGTGTCAAGGAACTCGACCCTCATAATGGGATCTGAAGATGGAATTGATGGATACACACGTTTGAGGTGCCTTGCATTTGCAGTTAGATGCCTCAGGCACTTAATGTTGCATTCTGAAAGAGTATTCTTTAACAGGAAGATACCAAGCGCCATCTCAAAAGGTTGGATATATATTCCTTTGAAGAGTATAAAAACTTATTAAGATAATTTAAGAAATAAACTTATCTTTTTAAGAATGTTATCTCAATCTGAGAAAGACCGTATTCTTGTCCTGGCCAAACTCTTTATCTAAAGCGCATTAATTAAAAGCCAATGCTTCTGTGTCCCAGATACGGCGATAAGATAAAGGCCCAACTAACTGGGTGGTGACGAGAGCCAAGCCAGCTTAACTGGATTATTGATTTGGTCTTCGATTTCGATTTCGTTAAGTGAACCAGAACCTAGCATCTGCAGATGGCCTACAATTGCGAACTGACCAACATCCCGCATGTGGCACAAATCAAGTCATCCTATGGGATCCCCGATCCCAGACCAGACGACAGCGGCACGCACGACTTGACCTGCCTCAAGAGCAGCTGGATGAAATCAAAGATCGAGGATTGAGGGAAACGGGGAGTTTGAAGACGCCAAGAAGTGAATGGTCAACATAACCGTTTAAGTTAATTACGATTATGATTAAGATTATGATTATGGCAACGAGCTTGAACCTGAGCTTGAGCCTAACTTATCAGGCCATCAAGGGGGGATTATAGAAATGAAAAGTGCTGCGTTCAGTAAGCGGAATCAGAATATTGATATTCAATTAGTGTAACTGGATAACAGGTGGTACGCCCAGAACGAACCAAAGTAAATAATAATAACAACAATTAATTTAGTTTCGGAAATTATGGGCGTGTGTGGATGCAGGGCACGTAGACGGGTTGGCGATGGCACGGGTTAGCCTGGACCAACTCCACAATACACTTTTCAAGCAGACCACGAAGAGGAAGTGGCTAAGACTGCGGCAAGCCGCCAGTCCAACAGCTGCACTTCTTCTGGCCCAGAGTTATGCTGGTCCTTTGCTCCTTTATTACATCTTTCTCCCCCTTCTTCTTCGTCGTCGTTGTCGTCGTCGTCTTCGGCTGCTTCAGTTGCTCCGACTAGACGACACTTGGAGATTTAAATGCCTTATGGGCAAAGAGTCTTCAGCACGTGCTCAGCATTCAGATTCAGCGCAAGCCTTGAAAGGTGCAAAACTAGAATATACACGAGAAATGAGAAACTCCCACGATCATTTGGGCATCATAGCCAGCCCACTCGAGATTGATGTATTGATTCATTCCTCCCCTGGATGATCGATCATCCTAGCCTCCTAACGGCTGGGATTCCAAGTCTAAACAAAGCCAATGACAATTGCCTTTGACAGTTTTTACCGTTTCCCTCGATTGCTGTTTATGTCTCGCCGATTATTTCTGCTGTGCCTCTTTTTGCATATGCGGATTCCGGGCCAGGGAATTCAGAGAAGTGATTGATATCAGTCAGTCAGTTAGGCAGTTCATCAGGCGGGGCAGCTGTTTTGGCAGGCAGTGCTGCCTAATGGATATTTAAATTGCATTGTCTACAGATATTGTTCTGTGAGTGTAAACATAAAGGTAAGAAAAGAGGGAAAAAAATATACTTTTAGCGAATTAGTAAATTTCTGTTTCTTTTTTCGCCGAATAGAAACTTCAACTAAATCGCCAGATTTCCCTTAACATCTACTTTGTCCTATTGTCCAAACTATAACTAATATGCCATACGAAGTACTCTGTTCTTTTTCCATTCCCGCATAAACTGTTACACCTTTGTCGCGTGCCTGCCGGGTGAGCTTCATCGGGAATCATAAAGACCACCTAAACAAATCCCACTAATTAACAACAGAATCGCGGGCGTATTATCGCATTCAAATTAGCAAAGGACACACACCAAGCCAAATAATAAAACCCGAAATGCATAGCGAAATATTTGGCAATTTTTATACGGAATTTATAGGCCTAAAAAGCCGTAGGTAAACAACCAAAACAACAAAACAATGACGGGGACAGCAGCCACCACGATTTTGTGGGCCATAAATAACTCGAATCATTTGGCCCAGAACGACCTCGTCAGCAGGACACTCAAAATCGAAAAAAAAAGTGCAACTGCAACCATGGCAAACGTTTCATTAGTCAAAGTACATTTACCGGGGAGGGGAGGTGAGGGTTGGCCCGTTGAATAGTACCAGAATTCGATGCTAATTTCGGGCTAATAAATTATACCTTTTGACAGTCATGCAGTATGGTTTTTGGATATTCGCTTGCCAATTTCTCTTATCTTTCTAACATTCCTCACTGATTGCTATCGATGTTTTCCATATTGATTGCTATCAGTGTTTTCCTGGGATTCCATATTCAAGCCCACACACAAGTCACTAGGCTAAATGTCTAGTAATTAAATCAGTGTGGAAATTAAGAGTCTAACATTTTTATAAGGAAAATCCCACAAAATCACAACGGGTCATCTTAAGGAACTCCTTGGTTGTAATGCTCGGCAGGAGATCTATGGCCCGAGGGCAATTGCACACTTCACACCTCCAATGCCACATCTCACACACTCTGCCTCAAGAATCTGAAGACGCTGGTCCAGAGCCATAGCCAGACACATCCTGTGGCGCATGGCAAGACATCATCGTCGATGTTTGGTGTCATTAGCGTCAGGCAGTCGGAGGCGTCTGCCTTGGCAGCCACCTGCCGGGCCCGTGCCTCGGATGACGTTACAATTACCTAGTAATGCGAGGCACGATGACGACGACCACAGAATTACAAAACAACACCCAAGGAGCCGAGAAGATGTCACCTCTACGTGAGCAGAACCAAAGAAGTTTCTCTTCAGCTGCAAGCTGGTTGTGCCATCAATTTTCAGTTACCATCTTCTTGGTTTTGAGTTGTGGTCTTTGGGAGTTTTTAGCCCCTGCACTCAAGGCAGATATTTGCTTAAATATAAATGAGTTACAAGCTTAGAATCTATATTATAAAACTTTTATAACTATCCAATATACTGGAAACATTTAGAAATACACCCGATCAGAACCCTTAAATTTATAATGCCTATCACAAGGAGCTCTCGAGATCCCCCTTAATCATAATGTGATGGTTTCCCTCAAAAGTAGTTGGTTCCCATTGAACATCAGAGCATATATATTGGATTAGTTCATCAGAGAGTGGAAAACAAAGCATTTTCACACTGCCCAGGGCGAAAACCCTTGGCCAGAAGCAGCTACCAGATCCCTTTCTTCCAAGAGACCAATATAAATCCAATTAGCACGCCTTTGTCTGATCTTAGCACACACACCACCGACAAAAAGGGAAGATGAAGAATGGAAGGAAGGAAGGAAACGAATCGAAAGGAAGACCAGGACAATGGTAGTCCTAACACACTTCATCAGTTCGGGGCCTCGAGGATATCTTCAGGGTTTTCTGTCTTCTGCCGAGGGTTGTGTTTCCTCGCCAAAGTTTATGACTTGCGCACCTTTTGTGCTCACCATTAAACGCCATTAGCGGGCATTTAAGGATCGCTTTTCAGCTCTAATTTTTTTTTTTGGGAAAGGTCGCCGAGGTTAAACTGGGGTTAGGAGGGTGTTCCGGCGCACACCTAATCTAATAAGCCGCAAGCACGCAAACAAGTTCACGTGGGAAAATTGGAGCGGGCCAAGAGCCGCTCCAGAAGAGATAAGCGTGGGCCGTCGGGATAATACTGTGCGATGGGTGTGTGTGGGAAGTGGTCGGCGGCGGTGTGGGTTATTTATGGATTGCCGCTAACTACGAACCGAAGTTGCAATTGGATATGGGAAGAGATCGCGATCGCGTCCGCGATCCCGCGGAGGGAACAACGCCCAATGTCAGTGTCCCAGTAGAATCGCATCAATTTCTGCACTTTATGTGACATAATCCCAGCCAGAACGGCGGCTATAAAAGCCGAGATCTGATGGTCCAGCATCCACAGTATCGCGTGGAACCTGGCAGAATGTGGCGTCTCTGCGGATTCGTTCTGCTTGCTTGTGGTCTTATTTTTGGCCAAACCAGTGTGGAGGATCTCAGCAAGGCTGCACCGGATGAGGATGACCCAATTGGGAGTAATAAAGAGCTCTCGGACCTGGTCATCACCACAGCTCTGGGCAAGATCCGCGGTACCATTCTGCCCTCCCAATCAGGTCGCAATTTCTACGCCTTTCGTGGAATTCCATACGCTAAACCACCGGTGGATCGCCTTCGTTTCCAGCCCCCTGAACCTGTGGAGCAATGGTTTGATATTCTAGACGCCACCTTTGATGGTCCCAAGTGCCCTCAACTGGGTCTTATTAGTGGCGATGTGAGCGAGGATTGCCTACGTGTTAATATATACACTAAGGAGCTGCCCAGCGAGTCACAGCCGAATATACGAAGACCCGTGATCGTCTTCATTCACCCAGGAGGTTTCTACTCATTATCCGGTCAGAGTAAGAATTTCGCGGGTCCTCAGTACTTCATGGATCGTCGATTGGTCCTGGTTACGTTCAATTACCGTCTGGGATCACTGGGTTTCCTGGCAACAGGCAGCAAGGAAGCTCCTGGGAATATGGGACTTAAAGATCAGGTGCAGCTCCTTCGATGGGTCAAGCTGCACATCTCTCGATTCGGAGGAGATCCGTCTTCCATTACTCTTTTGGGTTATGGCGCTGGTGCAATGGCTGTAACCCTGCATATGGTTTCCCCCATGTCAAGGGGTCTCTTTCATAAAGCCATCGTGATGAGTGGAGCAGTCACGGGTCAGTGGGCATTGCCGGACCACCAAATGGATGTGGCCACCAAGCAGGCAACGCTGCTCCACTGTCATACGGAGAATGTCACCGAAATGGTTGATTGCCTAAGGGGGGTAAGCTTTTTAAGAATTTAACTTAACTATATTTTTATGACGTGTAACTCATAGAAACATTACCTGGAATATGCAAACACCTTGCCAAAAATGTTTGAGTTTGACAGGAACAATCCTTTGATTCTCTGGAAACCTGTTATTGAGCCGGACTTTGGACAGGAACGGTTTCTGGTTGAGGATCCTATTAAAAGCTATCAAAACGATGATTTCATGAAGGTGCCTATCATAACGGGAATGACCAAGGATGAGTTTGTGGGACCAGCCCTTGTGTAAGTTACTCCAAAAAAACTGTTTTACTTTCTATATTACAAATATTATCTTTAGCCATCCTTCAAAGTCCCTCTCAGTTGAGCGCCCTCAACGAGAACTTCGAGTCTTTGGCTCCTGTATTCTTTATGTACAACTCAAGCGATCCACGGGTGTCCAATATTACCCAAGAACTAAGGAATCACTACTTCCAGCAGCAGCCCATTGAAGCCAATCGTTCCCTGGAGGCCTTGTCCAATCTTTACTCAGATGCTTTGACTGGTTTTGGCATTCATCGTTTTGTCCATTTGGCTGCCAGATCAACGAAGGTTTACTACTATCGATTTTCGTATCCGGGTTCAAGGAGTCACATTTATTATCCAGAAGATGCACCCTATGGGGTTGTTCACCATGACGATCTGATGTATCTGTTTGTGGAACCCTCCATCAGTCGCATGTTCACTGAAGATGATGACGAATTCCGTATGGTGGATATTATGGTCAGAATGTTCTCGGCCTTTGCTTATAAGGGGTATGTGTTAAATGATAGAAAATTATTTAATTTTAAACTGAAAAATATTTCTTTTAGCGATCCCAATAAACCCACTGACTTGGCTCTGAGGGACATCCGCTGGCGTCCTTTTAGCTTCAAGAAGAGATACTACCTAGATATTGGCAAACACCTAACTCTTCAGGAGAACCTCAATGCCGAACGCTATGAGATCTGGAAAAGACTCTTTCCCCTCAACTGGCGTCGCCAGACAAAAGAGGTTTAAGGGGTAGTGTTTAGCTTACAACTGTACTTTTCTTAAATACAGGCCACTAGGCATATTTATTTAAATTGTTTTTACTTTGTTTTATGGCTGATGTTCAGTTGCCAAGTGACAAGCCAATTGGCATATTTTCAACTCTCCAATTTGATGAGCCTCCCCCTAGAAAGTTGTTTTGGGTCTTCGTGTCATCGCTGTGTGGGTGCATATATTATACGACAGTCGGCACCCGATAACAGCTCTACGTGTCGTGCATTATGGGTTGTCGTTGATCGCGTGCTATGCTTAGGCACTGAGAGAAATATATTTTTAGTATTATTATAAAATATTAAATAATATACATATTTATAAGGTTTTCACAACTTCTTATAGAAATCGATAAAAATAAGTATATTTAAATAAAAACTTTTAATAAATGAAAAAAATTAAGAAATTATGTAAGATTTTTCCTTACCGACCCTTACCTTATTAATTTTTGCATGCTTTCTATATGTTGCGCCAAGCAGCCAAAGCAAAGACGGATGACCAGCAGCGGGTTTATCAGCAGTTTCTATTTTGTTTTGATTATGTCAGTTTCGCATGCGCTTTACCGTTACTTTGTAGCGCATGCGCTTCAGGGAGCTTTTGTAGAACTGCTGTAGCTAGAAGTTTGGTTGTTAAGCTGTACCTCTGCATTCGGCGTGGTTTTGTTGCTGAGCTAATTGTGTTTTGATTTGAACTCGTAATAAAAATTTGGAAATTGAACTGGCCCCGATTTATTTATTTTAAAGCACCTAAAAACTCTTAGTTGCTAAACACTATAATTATTAAGATTTCCAGTTAAGAATTTATTTTTATCCCAAAACATTTCTTCAAGTGCAGACCACCTCCGCAGTAGCCTCAATTTTTGCCACCGCACATCTGTGATGTTGATGCCTCATCCACTTTGCCGTTAGTGGGTCGCTCACAAATGTATTTTCATTTTTATTGCTCTTATCGGAGTTTGGTTACGCTCCAGAGCATGACAATGTCAAAAGCGGAGTCGTCCAATTCGAGTGGCTCGTGTCCTGCCCTCCGCTCATTAGCATAGCATAAGAACACATGACGCTTCATATCCAACCACCCATCAATCTACCATTTCATCCTTCCAATTGGCAATTGAAAAGTCCATCATGAGTCACGCCACAACTACGCAAGCAAAGGTCCTGCGGGGGTGCCACCCCACCAGTTGGAAAACTTTAATATATTAATTTATGCAAATTGCAATGCAACTGAATGTGGTATATCCCTGGCCATAGATCAATGCATGTCGGGGTTGCTCATTTTGATCGTTTCCACTTTAGTTTTAATTGTTTCGCTTGTCAGCGGAGCCAAAAAAAAGGAAAGATCAGCAATCGAGATCAGCAATGAGAGCATATGCTATGTCTGTCTGTCCATAATTTGTTAGATGCAAAAAAAGAAGAGGAAAATAGAGGCAAAAAAAGAGGTGAAAAGTTTTGAGGGAGAGTGGGAGTGGGATTCTGATCGAATGTGGCATTCCAATTTCCAGCGAAATATTTGGACAAGGGGCCAAGCGTCGCAGAAGATTTCGATTTCCGCGAACTGCCAAAGCGCAAATAAAGTTGTGAAAGCGCTGCATTGGCAATCCGAAGGCCCCCAGGGTCCAAATCATATCAGATTGAAGGCAGGCCCAGTCGGCCAAGTCCCGAGGTGTCTGCGTTTCCTGCTGCGAGTGCTGCCTCCTCGAGAGAAGGCATGGGCTGGCCTGGTGTTGGCGGCCAGGTTTTATTGACTGATGGAAATCGCTCAAAGAGCAGTTGAGTTTTCGCTGCGCTTGCTTGTGCCCACAAAATGTAATTAGATTGCGAGAAGAGGAGACTCCCATGGAACCGCAAAGCTAACACTAGTGCTGTGGTTTTTCCTCTCAGATCCCAAGAAAATACCCAAGACGCGTGCTTGGAACTCCTGCTGTCAACATCAGTGCCCAGGAATCTCGCCGAGCTGCGGCCAAAAGGCAATGAAGTTGTCTGGCAATTGACGCGCCCGATAAGCCCGAGACACAGTTCGAAACGGCGCGAAAAGGCCAAAACAAAGGCGATTCAGTCGGAAAGCTTCAGCGTTGTCCTTTCTTACATAGAAAAATTTGCACAAACATCACAAAACTCATAAATAACAACAACAACGACAGCAGCAGCAGCTGAAGTTGCAACAGCAACAGCAACTACAACTATTGCATCCAGAAAGTGTCCACCTATGTGCGACTCCTTGGCCCTCGACTCTTTAACCAGCGATGGATAATGTGGCTTGCACTCCACAATTTATGAGTCACTTGGCAGCCTGTGCTTGGACCCAAAGCTATGCCAGGCATTTATTGGGTTAAGTTCAGCAGATGGAGGCATTGACATATTTCCAACTGCCAGTGGGTGTGGGAAATCGAATGGGAAGTGGATTAAGATTATTTGGAAGATTCAAAGTGTTTTTCGATTAGATTACTTAGTTTTTCCTTAACTTATTACTTAATTTTTAAGTGCATTTTAATTAAACTCATACAAAGGCCTCTTTATAAGACCTCTTACGGCTCCATCTAGTGTTTTAGTTTAATAAAAAGTTAAAATCTTAATTATAAAGTTAATAGAGTAAAACATATAGTTGAACTTCTAATAACTACTTTGGCATGTGCACAAAACCTATTCCCTAAAATCACCCACAGGTAGGTAATTACCACCAGGAGCCTCTGACTTTACCTCTCTGATAAGAAAACTCGTGGCATGTGCCGTGTGCTGGCATTATCCGAGTTTATGGTGCATGGCAGTAGCGAACCAACACCACCTTCAGCTACTTTCCCCGAGTTATTAGCATAGGGCAAAAAGGAAAAGAAGAAGAGTGAAAAGCATTTAACAGACAATTGCGTGCGGTGTGTGGGCGATCCATCAGTCGCTGATGAAAATATGCTGATAGGCTGGCGAGAAAGCCATTAGCAGCTACTCGTAGAGGGAGGGAGAGAGGGAGGGGATATATTGGAATATCCTGCGTGAGTTTTTAATAACCGTCATGATCCTGCGGCGCCGCTTATTGGAAACCATTTGAAGTGGCGGTTTAGAAAAGTCGCGTGCCGATCGCAAGCTGTGTCTGCCCATGCTGAGGGCTAGTACCGATGATCTGTCAGTCAGTGAGTCAGTCTCCCCCATCAGCATCTCTCCTCCGGATGTCAAATATCTGCAAGTCGCGTTGTTGGTTGTCTGTTGTCATCGCGGCAGCATAGCAGCATCGCAGCATCGCAGCATCGGGTTTCAATAATAGTTTTGTGCAGCTTTCGACTTGCGATGATGGATCGTGTTGCACGGTGTCTCGCTTATTGACTAACTGACAGAGGGGTGGATTGCCTAATGGGAATCCCCCGAACTGAAGTACCTTTCATGGCGGGATCTGAAGTTTTTATGAGCCTTTGAAGCCCTTGCATTCCTCAGCCCTCGAGTTATTTGTTTTATTCTTCATCTCTACTCTACGCTTTTCCTGAAAATTCTCCGATAAACTTTAATGAGCATGTCAGAAAATCTACTGGTTGGAAGAACCAACAAATCGATGACAAATTGTGTTCTATCTATGTGAAAGTTGCAGCTCTGATTGATGTTCGTAGAATCCAAGTTGACTGTCAACGGTTTAGTGGATCGTTTAACTAATTGCTCAATAACATACCTGCCATGATCAGTCAATGGTGCCCCATTAGAACAAGTGCATCAAGATGCGCTGGAGGCCACATAGAGCACTATTATAACCATTTCCCAGACTCCAAGCTCTGACGCCGGACTATTAATCACACAAAATTGTGGCATAAAATACAATTTCATTAATTGTGGCCAAAACATACTCGCAGAAGGAAAACCACACCCGCATGCCACTCGAGAGAGTTTCCCACGAGTTCGGTACCAGTTACTTCACCTCCAGCTCTATCCATTCTCGGATACAGTTGCTCTGTTTCCTCCGAAGCCCTGACCCTTGACTGGCGCTATATTTATAGGTATTTAGTCCACACCCCCAGGTGGCTACCGAGGTGCAGCATTAGCCAGTGCGATCACGTAGCTTTTTGTTTTCTTTAGCAAAAGGTGGAAGACAAGGTGAAAAAGAGTTGAACATCCCATCACCTCGGTTGCAATTCACGTGAAGACAGCTGCCACAGAAGCAGAGTTGGCAAGAGCTGTAGGATGCAGCCGCATTCCGTGCCCTCATATTGTAGTTTAGTGTCAACGTCAACCACGTAATCAACTTATAGGAACCCATTGCCAGGGCAAATAGTATGTACTCTACACTGCGAAAAAAAAGTGGTTAATAAATTAGTTATTTTATTAAGTTTATGCAGTTTTTTAATAGTCCAGCATCCTTCCTTACTGTTCATAGAATTTGAACTTTTTTACCAACTTTTACAAGTCGAATCCAACATAAAGTTAGTAAGTTTTTTTGCCAGTGCACCCTCTAGCAACATCCCTTTTATGGGCAGCACAAAAAAAAAAATTGCAACAATCCGCAGAGGCAACCCCCCGAGCTCAGGACCATGTCCTCCGAGCTATCTTCCTTCACGAGCAGGAATGGGGGAGAGTTACGGAGGGTGTTCTGGGCTCGCTAATGTTTGGTTTCATTAGTCCTAAGCGACAAATCAAACAGTTTGTGGCAGTTTGTTTGCTGTATTTTTTCCGGCATCCATCCGTTGTTTACACTCATTAGTTGGTCCTTCTGGCATTCTGAGTCCTGAATTTAGAAGCCTGGAATCTGGGAAAGCGTCGCACCCCTTGTGACAACTAGCATACGTTTTGGAGGGCGCACTGATTTCGGCTGTCGGTTGTTGAGGGTGCCACTCGGATGTTGTTTCGTTTTCATTATTTAAAGCACATTAATAATCACATCTGACAACAGCAGCAGCTAGAGTAGGATTAGTGGCAGGGGCATGAGCAGGAGGAGTGACAGGAGTCGCGTATCGGAAAACTGCAAACAAATATTTGCAAAGGAGGAAAATGAAGAGGGGAAAAATGGCACTTAACGCGCTTGTAATGATTGCGACTATTTGGTTGGTGTTTGCGCTTTTTATGGCCTTCGAATTGGGTGCAAAAGATGGCAATCTCAATGGAAAAGTGGGTGTTACAGTCGATTGATTTGTGGTGAGTTATGAGTGGTATTCCATAGCGTAGTAGTGGGGAAATTATTTGACTTTGATTATCATAAATCTCTGAACCAATGCGAGGGTGGTCCTCCTTTCTGTTCTTAAACATTTCTATTAGGCACAAAGACCCAAAATGAAAAAAAAAAAAAAAAACATGCATAATTATGATTGCTGCGCTCCTTTTAGCCGACGTGTTTTTGTCGCCGGGTCTTCAAACAAAAGCGACAACGATATATCGGGAGAGCTAACAACAAAAGACACTCAGCCAGCGACCACACACAAGCCAGCTTGTGGAACTTGGAGTAGCCTGAGATAGACAGCGAGACAATGGGGCACTTTTTGTGTGTGGCTGGATGGCTCGATGGCTGCCTGGCTGGCTGGCTCATATGTGAGCCATGTATTTTGCTTATCGAATAATCAAGTTGTGCATCAACTCGAACCCCAAATCCTGAAAACTAAAAAGCGGAGAAAGGGGAAGACAATTAATTTTAAGGTCGTTTGATGTGAACACTTTCACCCAAAACAAACAGATACGAGTGTCCTTTTCCCAGTCGCTTTGATGTCGGTCAGCAGAGCCTGGCAAGTGCGGGAATTAAGCAATCATTAATCACGGCGATTTGGTTTTGTAAAAAATATTTAATTAACCAAAAGAGAGAAGTATCTGTCAGATTGAAAGATCGAATAGGCGCCAGCAGCCAGGTATGAGGTAAATTAATGGAGTTGTTGGGAAAGTAAGTGAAAACTGATTTCCCAGGATAAATTCCTTTTGTGATCAAAGCTCTGTCCGAGCAGATCCTTCCACGAATACCAATCAATTGGTCTGCTCTGCTTCGATTGAAAACAACTCCACGAAAACCAACCAAAAAGTATACTTGAAAAGGGCAAAAAATGCGTGTTGTCCAATAACAAAGTGGCCTGAGTCTTCCCAGAAATTACGCATAACAAAGCGCTGTTCTGGCCAAAGTCTCCCTGTATCCCGATGGAATCGAATCCTTCCTCACTTCTCTACCGGCACTCTCTCTCTCTCTCTCAATTTGTATTGTCATTAGCGATTATGGGCCTGGAATCGGTCGTAGGGGGCGTAATCCGATATGTTGACAGAACGCATAAACGAAGGGAACGAGCATTTTAGACAGACAGGACCTCGGACCAGGACCAGACAGAACCGCTGACAAGCCTATAAAACATTCGATCCTTGGCGCTACTTCAAAATGTTTACTCCTTTTGTGAGCTCAATAAAAACGTAATCAAACCCACAAAGCGAGGTGGTTGAGGGGGATGATCATGATGATGATGCGTCACAAAAAGAGCATGGATCGGGATCGGACCAGGTTTTCCATCGAAAAACCATGGCGCAGGCGTAGCGAAAGTGAAATCGAGACGCATCCACAATCGAATCGGCAGCTGGAACACCTTGGCATCATACATGACCCATACCCTCACCTTTGAGTTCATCATCGAGGCTGCGTATGTTTTGTTAGAGACCCACAAAGGACCAACAAAGTCAAAAGGGGCACGCGCTGAATTCTCGATTTTAAGCCTAGACAGGAGACATTGTGACTGATCGGGGTCGGATCCTCAATCCTCAATCCTCAGTTCTCAGACGATCTGTGTGTGTGTTGTCTAGACAAGCCGCAGACACACAAGTTTAATAGACTTATTGTAATTGAGTCACAAAAGCCACTCAATATCCATTTTCCCAACTCTTTTTCATCGTTTTCCAGCTGCCACTTGGAAAAGGTGTTGTTACCCTTTAGTGATCAATCTCGATTTGAAGATCGCAATTCGATGTGTTAATATTGAAGTAAATTTAATTAAAATTTGCAAATGTTTTGCCCATTTTCATTGTCATTCCTGTCATGTCGCCATATGCCCAGGTCATGTCTGGGGACTTTGTCAAGTTGACTTGCCCACCTTTTTGTGGGATTTGTATGTCCCACAAGGGAATAAGGCACAATGCGTATACTTAGTCAAAATGTTTGCCTTTGCCCCTCATATTTTCTATGGTAGAGGACAAGTTAACAAGTTAATTTTCCATATTTTCTTTGGTCCAACTTTACAGCAGAGTCATGCCATGTCCTTGTGTGTGTCCTTTGTGGTTGGCAGAGGGTTAAACTTGGGACTTGACCCCAATGAATATGCGTGTTAATGAGTGAGAAGATTTTCTGTGTTTTAAAAAAACTTCTCTCTTGCTTGCTTGCAACTTTAAAGTCGCCTGAAAATAATTATAAACTCCCCAATAGGGAAGGGTAGGTAAGTCTATCATCTCCCATTCAACCCCACAGAAGAGGGCGGGTGAGGCGATAATCCTTTTGTATCCCATCGCATTGTTTGGCATTTTCACGCAAGAGCAAATCGTAAATGTCAATAGCAGCGCATCAGTGTAATGGGATAAGACCTCGGATTTTAACGCAGGGGGAGACTGAAATCAGAGCAGAGCAGTTTTGTTTTTACACATGTTAACCTGACAATTACAACAGTTCAAAGCTCAAAAAGGTCAGAGTTCCAAACAAGTTCCGCCCCCCCAAAAAAAAAAAAACAGTGCTAAGCCGAAAACATTTAAAGACAAATTAATGTGTATTTAAGCTGCCCCAATCCGCTCTAGGCCAAAAGACTAATTGCCCTTAAGGAGAGCTGAGCTCAAAGTGGAAACAGGGAAAATCTCACGCCTTTGTTGATTAATTAATCAAAGTAAATAGTTGCAATGCTCCAGCGAAGAGCGAGCCAAGTTAGGCGAACAAACGTCGAAGGTCATTAGCGTAATCTAAACGGCCTATTGATAAGCTTTTTCCACACCTAATTGCTACATTAATTTTCCGCTGAGCCGGGAGGCCACACCAGTGGCGACGGCGATGGCAAAGCTAAGTTTCCAGGGAGCGCCTCCGCTCCGGGCGGGCGTGGGAAACAGTTCATCCCAGACGGCATATCGATCGGTAAAGCCGGGAGAACCCACCTGGGTCACCACCCCGTTGTAGAGCATCTTCAAGTCCGATGAGTTGCATGGCGGCCAGATATCGGTGGTGTTTAGGGGTGTCCTGAAAGGAAGTTTCATTGTAAACCATTAAAAAACCATATGTTTCTCAATTTACTTTTAAGGCTTTTAATTTAATTTCTAAATAATAAACCTCTTTAAGTTACTTACCCCGTTTTGGCAAAGTGTGTAAACCAGCTGGTTAAACGCTCCACCATGAAAATATCCAAATGATCTTCTGCCATCATAGTGCCATACCAAAGACCTGGCATTACATATTGCAGATCATCAGCATGTCCCACTCCCAGAGCTTTATTTTCCTCGTTCACAGGAGCTGAGATACTACGATCACCCACGTAGTCCGTGCGCATATAATAAACGGGAGTAAAGTGTCTGGCCAGTTGGACAAGACGATGGACTCCATGGCCTATGATTCCATCAGAGAAGATTCTTCCAAATTCTTCTACGTTTTCTGAACTGATTTCAGATATGTTTCCCAGGTAAAAATCCTTGAGGCACTGACCAATGACTGTATTTTGGCTGTACAGAAACAACTCCGGAGCGTAATCCACAAAGTTCAAGCCAAGATCATGAAGTAAATGCTCGTTTCCCAAATGAACTTTAAGAAGAAAGTTATTAGTTAAGAGATATGTGAAACATTGATCCCCTCACCTCACCATTAGCGGTGTAGTCCAATTCGTTGGCCGTAAAACTAATCAGCAAAGGGACCTTGTTGAAGTTTCCCTTCTCAATTAGTTCCGTAGGATGCCCTGGTAGAAAATTTCCATCGATCTCGTAGTTCCATTTCATGTTAACAAACTGATAAGTTTCCCATGCCTTGCAGACTTCCACAATGCGTGCCCAGGTCTCATTTCGAAGGCACTCCACCACATCGTTGGGATTATACATGGGACAACCCAATTCACGAGCTAGTTTACGTGTCCAGAAAAGGTTATCTATGTGAAAGTGATTGGTGGCCGAGCCGCTCATGAGGATGGCCCGATGGAAGAGACCTGTGGAAAGAGGCGAGGCCAAGTGTAGACTTACTGCCATTGATCCAGCACTCATTCCCAATATAGTCACCAACTCTGGATCACCACCAAAGTGAGATATGTGCTCCCTGATCCATTCCAGAGCCATCACTTGATCTAAGAAACCAAAGTTTCCCTTCGTCTCGCTGCTATTTGTGCTGAGAAATCCCAGAGCTCCAAGGCGATAGTTGAAGGCCACAAAAACCACATCGTAATCCAGCAAGTATTGCGGACCAGCCTCGTAGACACTATGCCCACTTCCCAGGACATTGGCTCCTCCATGTATGTAAACGATTACTGGTAGTAGATTACTGGCATCGAAGTTCTTTGTAAAAACATTTAGTTTAAGGCAATCTTCGCTCATAAACAAAGTTATTCCTGGTTGCGGGCAAACTAGGGAATCGGACGTGGCCTTTAGCACTTCATCACCCCAGCTAGTTTCAGGAAGGGGATTAGCAAACCTCAGCTGACCAACTGGAGGCTGTGCATATCGTATACCTCTAAAGGCGTAGATTGTCTTTCCCTTGAAGCTCTGCATTGTTCCTCCTTGAATTTTGCCCAAGGAGAGCTGTACCACAGGATCATCGCCAATGAAGGTAACACTTCTGCTAAAACCTATTGAAATTAGAAGAAGAAGCCAAACCAACTGGGGTGGACAACACATTTTTGCTTATCTAAAATTAAAGAACTAAAATAATAATCAAATAGTATTCTATAATCCCATTTGCTATTACCAAAAGAAATTTCTCTGTGGGAATAGTTTGGAATCTTCGTGGTTCTCAGAGTTTTCGCAATAATTTTATTAGATTTCCCCTTTTCGGTGGTGCGCACCCGCATGTTACGAGTATTTCAGCGAAGCCGTGGTGACTGCAGGTTTCGCACGGTTTCTATTTTTTCGGGCGGGACTATCTCAAAAACCACTTAGAGATAGCTTGATCGATTAGTTTAGTCAAGATTAACCTTCGTGTTGGTCGGAGTTTGTATAAAAATATCAAAACCTAAACAAGATTAGGCCATTCTCTCTCAGTCTGGTAACAGTAACTGATGATGACCTTGTACTTTAATTACTGAACTCCAATTCAATTGAAAGTTATTGCTTCATTGAAAGATTTCGAGTTCTGTTCTGGATTTGAGTTTGAGTTTGAGTTCCAGTTTGGCAACCGTTAGACACATCACCCTGATTTGCACCACCAATGGGTTTGTGGGTCGTGGATCGGATCCTACGCCCGCAGTTTTTTTCGAGTTTCGAGTTTAGTTTTTCTCATGGCTGGCACTGAGATTTAAATTGATTTCCTTATTAATGCACATCCCTCTTGTAATATTCAATTAAAACTACCCACGATATAACAGTTCCCTTGATTGACACAAGCCGAGTGGTAATTACTCGAACTCTCTGGGAGAGAACGAATTTCTCCTTTTCAGCCAGATTGAAAACTGAATATGGTGGCGGCAAAGGAAACTCCCAACACAATGACCTTTTTGAAATAAATTCCCTTAATTGTGATGGCTTTTAATTGCGAGAGGAAGTAGATGATCTTCAAATCCAAGCAACAATGAATACATATTAATATTCCCTCACAGATCACATCTCTCATTGCCGCAAGCCAATGGAGAAAAAAAATAACAATTTTCACACATCGCCGAGTAATGAATCTCGAAAATGAAACAATTTGCTCTCCCCAAAAATGGTTTTGCGACAATCTGCTGCCAGTTTCTGAGGAGCCAAGCTCAATATTCCGGACACTTGAGTGCGCATGTGCACACCGCAGCACCACGGGAGAAGGATCAGAGGCCAGAGGAAACCACCCTGCCCATCATCCAAGCTCGATCTGGACGTAGCCACTTGAGTTGTTGCAAATATATGAGTGGCCTCTTGACAGACATCATTGTCGTCGTCGTGGAAGCTCAAACTGTGCCACTCGAGGGCCACTCTTTGTGTACCCTTTGTGGCAGGCTGTTCCAGCTTCCTGTGGCTTGATGACGTCCCTTGGTAGCTAAGACATGCAAAAATTTCTCACGCATCGCTAGCAGATGTTGTTGTTGTGATGGTAATTGGGATTAACTATCAAGTAAGTAACTCCAGATCGGAATTATCTAGTTCCAATTCTGGAGCAGCCTCCAGTAGAGGTTCTTACCAATAACAGAAAGGTATTATTTGGTAAGAAACTAGAAATTTTACCACTAATTTTAAGTAGAAGTCAGTTAAGATCTCAGTGGAACAATCGTAAGACCGGAATATATTTATTACAACATTTTCGCAATAACCTTTCCAGCTACTTAGCTGAGGTCACGCCCTTGGAGGTCTTGAGTCGCACCCCCCAAAAGAAAGGAAATTAAAAGATCGATTTCATTAAATCTAAAATTTGCAACATATTCTTGCAGCTGCCCCGGAGACCACTAGAAAAACCAGCCATGCTCAGCCATGCAAATTCGCAGATATTTCAATAACTGGCTGGGCTATTAGATGACAACTGAATGGAAACAGTCGCAACTCTCAAGTGACCAACATGCAGGCCTCCTTGTGGGTTTCTTCGTTCCATTCCTAGGAGAACGAACACAAGAAATGCCACGCCTCTTGCTGAGACCAAACCAAACCAAATCCCATTCACAATCCGCAGAACAAAGCCAAAAGGAAATCCAAGGGAAAGCAACAATTGCCGCACACGATAAACCACTTGAGTAATCAATCAAACCGATAGGGAAAACTGAGAGACGTCGACGTCTTGTAATGAATATTTAAAGATGGAAATTATCGCAATCCGACAAAGACGACAAGGGGGCAGGACAAAGGGGGAGAGCGGTCTCCGGCATTTTGCATAACTGATAGCGAAACAATAGACCGATATCCGTATATGCTTTGCGTATACTCTCGAGCACAAGCATACGAGCATAATGCGATAATTTGAGCACAAAAGTGCCGGCCAAGGGTTCAGTTTTGGCATTAACATCTTGCTGCCTCTAATCTTCCGCCATACCGAGTACAGCATGAACATATTATTTATTCTGTAATCAATACGGGGGAAAAACGGAAAAGTTCTGAGAGATCGACGGACTCGCTCAAGTGAGCAAATGTCCTGAATGTGAAACAAATAACAAAAAAGCCCTGAAGGACTCGCAGGATCTAGAGTATGTTACTTCAAGGGTTGCTCTCGCTCTTTAAGCCTTTGTGGTATTGTAATGAGACTGACGTCTTATTTAACCCAGACAAGGGTTAAGAAACTAGCTCTTTCCTCTTGGGAAAGGGGTCTTGGTTTTTAACCTTCCCTACAAATTTTATTCACACCATTGCTCAGCGATTGTTTGGTAAATAGGCTCTAATTTCTAATTGTTGAAGTGATCCAATCAGGGTTTTTATACTATTCAATTAGAATATATTCATAAATAACTTAAAAGTAGTAATAAATATGGTAATTTATTAGATTTAACTTAAAATTTTGTTATCATGCATCAATAGGATATATCTGTTAGTCGTAGATAACATTATCAGGGTATTGGCAAACTTTCTTCAGTATTTTCTGACATAGATAGTTAAATATTTTTAAAGTATTTTTATGTTAATGTTTACCAATTCTAAGAAATACTATAACAATATACATTTACTTCATTTTCTGTTAATATTTCTTTCCTTTAACAAAAACCTCTTACACCAAAATATAAACAAGTTTTTTATAGCCTGAACAAGCCAATAAAACTGGCAACTCCTAAGCTAAGAACTCCTTCTACTACTGCAATTTAAGAGGCTTTACAATAGGAATTGATGTGCCAAAGGCCTAGGGCAAACCTTCAATTAGGGAGAGTCAGTGGCAGTGGCAGTGGCTCTACCCCCAATTTCAATAAACAAAACTTAAAAAGGGCTAAAGTGAACCCTAAAAACGAAAGTTTCCTCTGAACATGAGATCGTAATATTTGCCACTTAATTGAGATTAATTGAAGTTCTGGCTCCCAAAATGAATAAACAACTTTGCAGCCATTTTGTTTATGACTGCGTTTTATGTGCACACAGAACGAAAATATTATTAATAATTACAAGAGCCAAAGGCAATGGCAATGGCAATGGCACCCCGAAAATAGTTATAGAGTCGAACCCTCGGCAGACGAAAATTTGATTAAATTAAATTGAGTGCGACGGAGTTTGTGGAGCAGCGGAAGCCGGGCATCACTCTAAATATGTGTTTCTTTCAGATACATTTACAGTTATAGAAACACAAACAGATACAGATGCAAATCAAATGCTATTGAGCCAGCCAGTTTAGATCTTTGACGAACACGAGGTGAATGCACTCGCTCGCATTCTAATAATGCTCTTGTTGATGATGATTCCAGTGTTACGGATCTCCCGAATCCCCTTAATTGGTGGACTGCGGAGTGCGTGTTAATGGCCATCGTTGGTTGTAAGTCACAACTAGCAATTTAAGCTAATTGACATTCAAATGCAGTTGAATAAACTTCTTTTTGGGCAATGCTTGGTAATGGCTCAGGTCGTTGGCTTCTGTGATGAAAACTTAGATATTTACAGGACCACCACAGGATCATCGTTCATCATTATCAACCCCATCGATAGATCGCGCCCATCATTTATAAATTGCCGCATCAAATAAAGCCAAACGCTTGAGTAAATCCACATAATTGCCGTCTACCCTGTGCGAATTAAAGGTCTTTGATAACCGTAAAATACTCCTGGATGCCCAGCCTTCGCAATCAGTTTTTAAAAAATAAAAAAGTGGAGAGAGCTACTCCACCGTCCGGATGTGTTCGCACTCGTGTAAACATGCGTTTGTCATTAGACACACCGGAAATATTGACAGCATTCGACACACGGCGCACGACCAGCCGAAATCCTGCGAAAGGAACTTGCCACTTTATTTGCCATTTGATTTTTTAAAATTGTAAAAAATTTTCAATTCAACTGCTTCGCGATTGTTTTGCCAAGTTTCGCTTGAGTTAACAGCGTTAGATCTTCGAGGCTACCCTGGCCAGAAGATCGGGTGGTTTTTATTTTTGTTGGTGAAGAGGGGTGGCCTTGTCCCCTGTCCCATGTCCCATGTCCCTTTCTCTATCCCCGTACGTGTGTCCTTTGTCTGGGCATCTTTGTTTGGGCTGAAGTGTCGTCGCCATGTCGAATTATCGTGTTTTTTTTAAACTGAAGTACCTGAAATTTTACAGTTTCGGCTTCGGTTTTTTAATTCCTCCGAGAGAGTTTACTAATTACATTTTATTGCGTAGCGCGAATCGCTTTGTCGCCTTTGGCAAGTGTGAAAAATCTTCAGTTTTTTATGGTTGGCGATCTTTTTTCTTGGTCACAATTTATTCGGGCTTTGATTGCACATTCGAAAAACATTTTGAGACTGAATTCGTAGAAACTGTTTCTGTAGAGCACCGCCAAATGCCACGCGTTTCTAGGCAATCAAAACAATCCTGGGGCTTGTGGAATTTCTCTTAGGGACTAGGAATGCGGGTATCTATCGATGAATTGTGGGAGAATGCTTGTAAATATGATGTAATCCAATGCCATAATTTCAAAAAAAAACACAAAACAAATGCAAATAATATGCACGAGAAAGAATTTAGGCGAACTTCGCTGGAGAATCCCAATGAAAAATAAAACGTGGGAAAATATGAAAATATATTTTCGCTTGTAATCCTTCTCATAAGCATTAAACTAGTGGACAATGAGCCAGGGACAATGGAGCAGTGTGAAAATAAATATTCCACAGACATATAAGCCCATTAACAGAACAGCAAAACCCACACCTGACCTCAACTCAACTCAACTCAAATTTGACCCGACATCGGTTTGTTTGGACAGATTAGTGAGCCAAGCTACTTAGCCAGCAATCGGGAGATCACTTGCCCAAACGATCAGGCAAAGCATTTCGTCCCGAATTTTCAGTTGCCTTTACATTTCAATTTTCCATTTTCCAACGTCCGATGTCCGATGTCCACTATCGAGGGCCTGCGATCTCCCCTGTTTGTGGGCCCCATGCGGAGTGTGAAAGGTATTATCGCATTGACTCGATCTCCCATCGCCGGCAGAGTCCCTGTAGTTGTTGTCGTTTATGTTTTCATTTTCATTTATCAGTTTGTGGAAATGCCAGATGAACAATGAGAAATTATGAGACTTGCTTTAAATCATTTACCATTTAACATGATCCGATCCTTGGGACTTGGCACAGGGTTGTTCTAAGTTCCTATATTGGCCATCTTATCAGATTGTTGGGATCTGGCATTAGGATTTTCTCGTCGTTAGTTGCCAATTGAATGATTTCCTATATGCGGTTTTAATTGCGGCACTGTGGCAGTTGACTTTTTCCTATCCTCTATAACTTTCCAAACAGGGAAGTTCCACTTAATTAGCTGCGAATTGTTATTCGACGGAGAGACCGAGATGTCCGATGGTTGATAAGCTTCCGGACGAAAGGAAAGCGGAAAACTTTCTTTGCTTTCGGCGAGAGAGGGGTTGCATTGAAATAAAATGGTTTAATGATCCGACAGATCGGTGACTACCAGTCTTTATGACGGGTATTGGAAAGTTTCCCTTAAGGGAAAATCAATAACATGAAGTTTTAAATATACAATTTTTGATAGGGAAAGTAGTAACAGGAAATATCTGATGGTACTAAGTAAAAATTTTATATTAATTTGATCTTAATATGCCTATGTAATGTATGAGTTCATAAATAAAAAACCAAAAAAACTTAAAATGTTGATATAAAAATGTAATATTTTCCTAATCACATTTTCATGATATTTAAATTTCAAGTTCACATAGTCAACAAATCTTTTGAGCACTCACATATTGTGAATATCCGTGGCCATATGTTTGGCAATCGTTATAATCCATGGCCAAATCCCTTCGGACCAGAGCCATCTATCTGCCAGGGGCGTAACTTCCCACGACACCACAGACGGATAGGGTAGAATACCGAATTTATTATTACATTTATGCGTAATTTTTGGTCGAATTTTATGGCCACAATTGGGTTGAAATCTAAACTAGAGGAAAAGAGTTCTGCTTTCCACGAGATCCCGCGGAGAGAGTGTCAAATAAATTTGATTGGAAAGTGATCTCTCGTAATTGAAACGGAACAGTTAATTCCGGGCATCATTAAAGGGCCACACCCACCTTGGGTGCCGGAAATCTGAGACCAGGTAGTATGTCCTTCTTCGTCAGCTTCATAATATGCAACGTCATGACTTTCTTCCGTGTCAACGCCCCTCAATCCTCACTCAGCGCACCCTTTCCCATTGTCCGCCGTAATCCTTTGAGATCCTATCGCGTGCTACGATCCTGATCTTTTGGGCGACTCCTTGCCAGAAAAGGCGCCGCGGGTTGCTCGATTCAGTTCGTGTCATAATTGCATGGCTTTCGTAGTCCGTCGTGGAAGTGTGAAAATTATGGAGTTTCCTCACCCTTTCGGCATCTTAATGATTATGTTTTGTTTCCTTTATCTCTGACTTGAGATCGCCGAGGGGCCCAAGGAATTTGTTTGCCAACTTTGCTTCATTCATATGCCTGAGTTATGGCATTTACTTTTTGGGTTTCTAGGGGTTGTTCTCCTTTACGGGATTTCTTCTCTTTGGATATACGTTTTTTGCGTGCTAAATTGTGTTTTACGATCACCGTTTCCCCTGATCTTAGCTTGGAGATATCACCAGACTCACGACATTTGGGTTTCTTTTTTTTCGCAAACGTTTAATTTTTTATCTCTTTCGAGATCGTGAGAAGTAGTTCCGTTAGTTATTCAATTCTCTTAAAGAGTTTGTAATCATCTAATGAAATTTTAAAGAAGTAGATTATCTTAAAGGTTTTTCGTTAACCCTGCGTTAATACCAGAGACCAGCTACTAAATATTCTAAATATTATGTAAAAATAAAAACTATTTGACGTAAAAACCTGAATAATCTCTTATGTTTTTCTGCTTTTGAAAATTGAAGACCTTTATGGGCCATATTTTTACCGATTTAATGTTAAAGCCTTTAACTGATATACTTTCAATGCCTTTTCCAAACCAACTCCATTTTGTTTCAAGCTCTTGTTTGCCCTCCAACCATTTCACTTTGTTCCCCATTCCGAGATCCAACTTCAGTACGAGAGTAAATAGGTCCGACCACTGGCATCTGCCAACCACTGTAACCAGGTGTACCCATCAGAGCTCATGCCATCTAGCAGTTCCCCATACCCAGAATCCCCATTCCCCCATCCCCATCACTGATGGTTGTAAACTTTTTTTCTGAACTTAATTAGCTTTGACTGGGGTTGGGGCCGTGTTCTTTTCCATCGAGTGCCCCAAACCCTTGCTTTTATATCGTACAATTACCCAGTGGAGCGCGTGCTGCAACCGCAGGTGCTAGAGCAGCACAGCACTCGTCGCTCTACCCAGACTCTCCCAGTTCCCAGTTCCCAGCTCCCAAATGCCAGTTCTCAGCTCCCAGTTCCCTTTACCATTCTCCATCTCCAGCTGCTGGTACTACCAATCAAACCTGCTCGGCTGCTCTCCTCGTATCCGAATTCGAGTGTGTCGGATAAAACGGATAAAACGCACACCACTGCAACAAAAACTGGAAGCCGACGGGCCAATGGGCATGCCGCATTCAACTCGAGCAACCCTCGTGCGATTCGACTGCTGGCAACTTAACTGTGCTGCGCAGACCGGGCCCAGTTAGTCAGCCTTGCGCAGTCGATGCGAACGGACGCGTCGCTCTAGTGAAAAGTTGAGAAAAGCAAACATATAGGAAAAACTATAATAAGGAAAACCCAAACTAAACGTGACCGCGTGTGAATAAAACAAGAATTACAAAGACAGCAAAAATGGTTTTAAACGGCATGCCCATCACTATGCCAGTACCGATACCAGTACCCATGCCTGTGCCCAGTCCACCAGCCACCAAATCTTGTGTCGCTGTCGACTGGGACATCAACGACTCCAAGATGCCGTCGGTGGGGGAGTTCGACGACTTCAGCGACTGGGCCAATGGACACTGCCGGCTCATATATTCCATTCAGAGTGATGAAGCCAGGAAACACGCCAGCGGTTGGGCGATGCGCAACACAAACAATCACAATGTGAACATCCTTAAGAAGAGCTGCCTGGGAGTACTTCTGTGCAGTGCCAAGTGCAAGTTGCCCAATGGAGCCAGTGTTCATCTGAGACCCGCCATTTGCGACAAGGCCAGAAGGAAACAGCAGGGAAAACAGTGTCCCAATAGGTGGGTTTTCCAACTTAAAAACCAATCATTAGAATATCAAAACTAACTAAGTATTTTTCCATTTTATTAGAAACTGCAATGGACGTTTGGAAATCCAAGCCTGCCGCGGACACTGCGGCTATCCTGTGACCCACTTCTGGCGACGGGACGGAAATGGCATATACTTCCAGGCTAAGGGAACCCACGATCACCCCAGACCCGAAGCCAAGGGATCAACCGAAGCCAGACGCCTTTTAGCCGGAGGAAGACGAGTGCGCAGCTTGGCCGTTATGTTGGCCAGAGAATCGGCTCTTAGTGATAAGCTGAGCAGCCTAAGGCCTACAAAGAGACAGGCCAAGACTCAGGCAGTCCAAGAGAGCAAACGCAGGAGGATGGGTGATCAAGAGGTGACCCCAAATAGCCAAGAGTTAATAGGAACAGCCGGCTATCTGCCCACTTCCACGCCCACACACAGCGCGAACTTTAACCAAACTCAGGGATCATATGGCACAACGGGATCAGGATCAGTGACAAGTCAGTGGAACGGTGATATCTACTACGAGGGATCATCCTATGGCAATGGAATGTACGCTTACGATATGCTCCACTCGCCCCTCTCCGCGCACAGCTCAACGGGTAGCTATTACCAGGAGAACCTCCCACAGCAATTGCCACAGCAGCAGCAGCACCAGCAGCAACAACTTTCCCCCCAGCAACCTATGCCGGCCAACTACGATCAGTCGATCTCAGCGAGCTTCCAGTGCGGAATGCCCTTGTACGAGAGCTGCGATGACACCTCCAGCTTGACCAGCAGTTCGGGCTACAGCTCCGAGGATTACGGATACTTCAATGGATATCTACCCAACTCTCTGGACATAAGCAACGGTAGCCAGAGCCAAAATCCCAGCCAGGACGGAAGTTTCTACACCACCAGCTCAGAGATCTTCAGTGTTTTTGAGTCCACCCTGAATGGAGGAGGTGCCAGTGCAGTAGATCTTCTATATGATGAAGCAAACGCGTACCAACAGCATCAGCAACAGGCCAACTTCCTGCCCCTCGCCTCGTCTTACCAACAGGAACAGCCGCAGGATCAACTGCAGTCCGCCGACTACTACTACAGTAATACAGGAGTGGACAATGGATGGAATATCCAAATGGACTCGACATATCACCCAACCACCACCACAGATCCCGTCTACTGCTAGGAGGATCGGGAGACGAGACAGTTGCCACACTTCGATCTCTCATTGCAACTACTATTACTGAGCCACTCAAGCGTTGTTCTAGTCCCTAGTTGATTTCCATTCATGTTCCCATTGCTTGTTGGTCCTTATTATTATGTATGAAATATTTGTATTGAACGTTTCTAGTTTGTACTCTTGTACTTGTTTCCCAGCTATTCCAAAGTTTTAGAGCAAGTAAGAATTATAATAATAATCTTAACCTATAAGCCTATATCATGGTAAGTCACATTTCCCACCTATTTATGAACTTTTGTGTAGTAATAAACATTTTTTGAAAAAAAAGCAAACAAAAACCTTAATCAGAGTAACCTTTTTTGATTACTGTCAGAGAGGGGAGAACGGAAGCAGATTCAGTATACATAGTTACATAGCCAGAAGATAGAACACAATTCAAAAATAGAAATAAATTTAAATTTTTTAGTCAACTGAATTTTTTTTTTTTTCGAAATGCTCCAACGTATCCCCAAACATGCTAGGAACCTCCGCAATAGGTCTGCGACGGTGAGTAACTTATATACTACGGTATACTGTATTATCCCAAGAAAACGTTTTAAATATTTTAAAAGCGTCGTGCAAGGGCGAACCGAGCTCGAATGCAAAACAACATGTCCGGACATTCAAATCGACGGGGGACTAGCTATCGCAGATTCCGGCCTTTGGGGTCTGGAAGATGTATTCTTGTTAGACGTCAGCATAGGAACTCAACTGGTATTCAACACCGGGCAATTTCCCGAAGAAGGAATTTTAGACGTAGGACCCGGAACCAAGCTCCTGTGCCATCCGTGAATCAATCCAATCCATCAATACAGACAGGGCAATGTACCCTATACATACCAACCAATCAACCAGATTGTACTTTAGACGACTTGCTAGCAAATGTAATTAGAGATATATCGACGGAACTGTTGGCCATAAGGAGGGTAGAAACCCCATCTGGTTACGATCGTATGTTTCACTTTAGTAATTTCCTAACATCAAATTATTATGTACCTTACTTTTAGTGGAATTTTATATATTGGATAAAAATCAGGAGGTTCAAGGTGAAGTTAACGACAATGATCCTAATATTGGCCAAGAAGTTCAGGAAGCTCAGAATAATAATCCCAATATCGATCAAGAAGTTCAGGGTAGTAGTCCTAATATGAGCCAAGAAGATCAGGAAGGTCAGGATAACAATCCTAATACGGGTCAAGAAGTTCAGGATAATAGTTCTAATATAAGCCAAGACGTTCAGGAAGGTCAGGATAACAATTCTAATACGGATCAAGAAGTTCAGGATAATAGTCCTAATATAAGCCAAGATGTTCAGGAAGGTCAGGATATATATTCAATCATGGGACAAGATGTTCAGAAAAATAATGAAAATGGAAATGATCAAAATTAACACAAGAAAGCACCAGATGACATTTATAGAAATCGGTAAAATAACGATGAGAACAATGGCATATATTGAATTATTAGCTAAAAGTACAGGTCAATTTATATATGTTTTATCTGCGAAGATATCAACAGATGTATCCACTGTACTTTTTAATTTTACAACAATAATTCTTGTCACCATCCGTTTAGAGAACGTTTTCCATTTTACACTTTTCCCATCTGTGTTTGAACGATCGTCCTAAAATCAATAACCGAAATGAAACTAATCTTCAGGAATAACTAATTTAATGAATTTATGAAGATCTATTTTATTTAGCAAAGAATAATATGTCAATATTATTTCTCCTATTAGAGAGCGTTTAAAATAAAATTTCAATTTCAATTTCCATCGGCAATCAAATCCAGGGTCTATTAAACCGCTTACCTCCTGTCAAAGGCCACTCAAATATTTAGATATTGTTACTGAACTTTTTTTTAAACCGATTATAAATAATTAAAGATATAAAAAAAAGGTTTATCGAGGTAAGGGGTTGCAAGTACTCGACCCTAATGGGGGTTTGAGATCGACCATAAACAAAACGCCCATTAGTTGTCATGTCGCATGGAAAGTGTGCCGCTGACGCGTGCGACCTTCAAGGATATTCGCACACTCGGAACTCGTAGAGCTGAAACAAAAAAATGAGGAATGACTTTGTTTCAAAGGATATTTGCATATAAAATACTACGAGTGTGCGGCTGCGCGGAACCCGGGGCCAAAATGAAAACATTTAAAATGTTTTGATTTCATTTATGTTAATTTCCAGCCATAAATCACAACAGAGCGTGTGCTTCCTGTCGCGCCAGCCTTCTCAGTCCTGCAACAATATTGGTCCTTGCTATTTGATTAGCCCTTAACCCAAACCCGAACCCTCGCATGCAAATGAGAACTCTTTCGGGAGTCGCTGACTTTGCTGCTCATTTTGTGTTATCCTTGGGTGCTGAGGGGAGGATGCCGAAGATCACAAAGGTTTATGCAAATTTTTACTGATGCTGATCCCATTGTTGCCGGTGTAATTCAATATTCGCGTGAATTAATGCCCGATCTCTCTGCCTAAGTCTGAGGTTTCGCAAATTCACATTTGCAAATCCAGAAACTAATTTCAAATTCAAATGCGTTTCGGTGCCAATTTGTTAATGCAGATTTTTGCACACTTAATGAAGCTAATGGAGATGTCAATTTAGGGTTAGATTCCTTTCATTGGAATATCCCTTTTAAGTTTCTTGGGACTAATAAAGTGGGGTATATATAAATAGTTTGATTATATAAAACTTTTAATCTATTATATAAAATTAATGTTAACTAACTGTCAATTCCTTTAATCTAGTGAAAACATTTCCTCCGACATTTATTCTCTGCTGTTTGGAAAAGGTCAGGTCAGCCAGCCAGTCAGACAGTCAGCCGTCTACCAGCATTTGACTGACAGACCTTTGCAGTTGACATTAACCGACGAACTCGAGTGTGACTTTTTTGACTCTTCACACATCATAGGCGGATCAGCGGAGAAATCAAAACCGCAGCTGCAGCTTCGTAGGAAAACGATTAACTATTTATTTTATAATACATGCCACATAAAACGGCTGCGTCAAAGGCCACAAAGGCGTGTTGCCACAATAAAGCGCATGGCAATGTGGCAAAATCTCATCTGAACCTATTTAGGAGTGGCCACTTGAAAGGACAATGCTATCGAAGCAAATGAGGCGCGCTTAATTCGGCTTCAATGAGTCCTGGTCGAAGGATACGAGTAAGCGACCTGAAAAATCCGAGTGACATGCGTGTCCCGCAAATTGTGCGGCCTGTTAGTAGTCCAACCTCAGGCGGGGTGGGTCAGCGTGACGAATTCCCGCAAACAATATCTGCGGAAAAATCATCAAAATCAAAAGCGAGATGTAGAAAAATGTGGACTAACATTAGATCTATCTTTTTGTTATGTTTTGTTATATTAAAAAATAAAAATCTTTAGATTCAAAGGTTACCAATTACAATGGCAAAGTGATTTCCACGTAGTGCGCCTTTACTGAAATTTAATTTTTGTATAATTTTTTAAGTTTTCTATTTCTACGGTTTCCGAATATTTGTCATAAAAATATAATGTCCTTAAAGCTCTATTTAAAAAAACCTAATCCCAAAAGAAAACAAAAACATGATTTTATCTTAAATATCCCTTAAAAAGCATTTTAAATATTGAATGCTGTACTTCTAGAATCTAGACTATTATTTTAAATTATTTAAGGAGCACTTTTGTACAGCGCCATCTAGTTTTGAGAAACCAGATTCTAGCGATACCTAGTAAGTTTGCTTGTGCAGCCCTGGTGGCAAAGGTCCACTAAACCGCTACCGCTGGTTTAGTATTTCCGCCACATAAGCAGTGAATCAAAACAGACAATAATGTTCCTTTTAAATTTATTTTCATTTTTTTTAATATATTTGATATTTTGGATATATACAATACTTGTACAAAAAACTATTATTTACTTAAACGGAACAGTTCAATATTAGAATACCATTTACGTTCATCTAATCCTTCCTGATTTTTGCGAACTTTGGCTTCAATGACAAAAATGACTAATTATTAATAATAATAATTAAAAAAGATCCCGCTACTTTTTAAATTTTTCGGATTTTTTAGCGAGAAATCAGAGCTAGTCGATATAATTTGGTGGTAAATCCGTTTCACGATCTGGTATCACTGATGTGCAACAAGTCGAACAATTGCCGCATCGTTTTTCATAGCGAATCGCGAACACATAACTAACGGTGCAAGATCAGAGATAGCGCTAGCGACTAATTAATAAATAGCCAGTAAGCGAAAAGTGAAAAACCCTTTAAGTTCAAACCGTTAGTGCGCAATGTCGGCAACGAGATTTTTAAGTGCTGTTGGCCAAATTTCGCGACAGCAATTGCTGCAGAATAAGTGTACGAGAGGTGGGTTAACTTGAAAGACTTCTAAGAAAAACGTATAGGGAAAGTAAAAATTGCAAATTACCCTTAGAATGAAATTTGTCCCCTTAGAAAGGGGTACTGCTCAAGCGGTATCTCTTTCTTTTATTTTCTGGGTGAGCCACCCCCGACGCCGCATAACTGGACTTTGCACTTTGTACTCTCTCTTGACGTATAGCTGCTGTCTCTCGCTTTCTGATTTCCGATTTCGAGGGCCCTGAGATAATGACAACTAATCACCAAAACCGATCTCTTCACCCCACGCAGCCCTACCCATTTCGGCCCATCTCCTCCAAAACCGCCGCCTAATGTCCACGACAGCTGCTCCGGTTGCCAACAAGCACCTCCACACCAAGGTGGTCAATAATGTTCTTGTGATCAAGATAGACTCCCCCAATGCCAAGGTTAATTCCCTGGGTTCCGAAGTGAGCAATGAGTTCGAGCGCGTCATCAAAGATCTGGAGACGAATCCTGCTGTTAATTCGGCCGTTCTAATTTCCGGAAAGCCTGGATGCTTTGTGGCCGGAGCTGATATAGGGATGCTTGAGGCCTGCCAAACGGCGGAGGAGGCCACGGTGATCTCCCACGGGGCCCAGCTGATGTTCGACCGCATGGAGCGCAGTAAGAAACCCATTGTGGCCGCCATCAGTGGTGTCTGCCTGGGTGGAGGACTTGAACTCGCCCTTAGCCTGCCACTACCGCATTGCCACCAAGGATAGCAAGACTAAACTGGGTCTGCCGGAGGTCATGTTGGGTCTTTTGCCAGGCGGCGGTGGCACCGTGCGTCTGCCTAAGCTCACCTCCGTGCCAACGGCTCTTGATCTGGAGCTTACCGGCAAACAGGTACGTGCCGATCGCGCCAAGCGTCTGGGTATCGTGGATCTACTGGTGGAACCCCTTGGTCCTGGACTTCAGCCTGCCGAACAGAACACTATTGAGTATCTGGAGAAAACAGCTGTGCAGGTAGCCAACGATCTGGCCAGCGGTAAACTTCGAGTAAGATATATTAAGTTTAAAAAACAAAGCTTTTACCTAAAGACTACATATTTCCCACAGGTTAATCGCGAAAAAAGCGGTCTGGTTAACAAGATCCAATCCTTTGTAATGGACACCGACTTTGTAAAGAACAAGATCTTCGACACTGCCAAAAAGCAGGTTCTGAAGGCCTCCAATGGTCTCTATCCCGCTCCCTTGAAGGTTAGAGATTGGACGAACTCTTTCTGAACTTTTCAGCTAACTTTTATTTTGAAACAGATCCTCGATGTGATCCGTGCTGGCGTGGATAAGGGAACCGATGCTGGTTACGAGGCCGAACGCAAGGGCTTCGGCGAACTGTCAGCCACTCCTGAGTCCAAGGGTCTTATCTCCCTCTTCCGTGGCCAAACAGAGTGCAAGAAGAACCGATTTGGAAAGCCAGAGCGCCCTGGTTAAGACTGTGGGTGTTTTGGGAGCTGGTCTTATGGGAGCCGGAATTGTTCAGGTATCTGTTGACAAGGGTTACCAGGTGGTGATGAAGGACGCCACCGATGCGGGTCTGGCTCGTGGTATTGGCCAGGTCCAGAAGGGTCTAGAGACCGCCGTGAAGCGCAAGAGAATCTCTGGTCTGCAGCGCGATCAGACTCTGGCCAACCTACGACCCACTCTAGATTACAAAGACTTCAAGGACGCAGACATTGTTATCGAAGCTGTGTTCGAGGACATTAACGTCAAGCACCGTGTGATCAAAGAATTGGAGGCAGTTGTTCCTGAGCACTGCGTCATTGCTACCAACACCAGCGCCATCCCTATCACAAAAATTGCTGCTGGAAGCTCGCGTCCCGAGAAGGTTGTCGGTATGCACTACTTCTCGCCCGTGGACAAGATGCAGCTCTTGGAGATAATTACCCACCCAGGCACCTCCAAGGACACCATCGCCCAGGCTGTGTCCGTTGGTCTAAAGCAAGGCAAGGTCGTCATCACCGTTGGTGATGGCCCTGGCTTCTACACTACCCGCATCCTCGCCGGTATGCTATCTGAGGCCGTAAGGTGTGTACTGGTTGATGTTACCATTTTTAATAATTGTTATGCTATGTGATTAAGGAGAAACTGATAATTCTATTGCCATTCATTTTTAGACTGCTGCAGGAAGGCGTGGACCCCAAGGATCTCGACATATACACTAAGAAGTTCGGTTTCCCTGTGGGCGCCGCCACCCTTGCCGATGAGGTTGGCATTGATGTGGGCTCCCACATTGCCAGTGACTTAGCAAAGGCATTCGGAGAACGCCTTAGCGGTGGAAATTTGGAAGTGATGAACGATTTGGTGCTAGCCGGTTTTCTCGGACGCAAATCTGGAAAGGGCATCTTCCTGTACGATGGTCAGAAGCGCGGCACTCGTCCAGTGAACAATGATGCCGTAGAGATCATTAAGCAAAAATATGCCCTGGTATCAAAGGGAGCCAATACGCCCGAGGATCTGACCCTGCGCATGGTGTCGCGTTTCGTCAACGAGGCTGTGCTGTGCCTGGAGGATAAGATTTTGGACAGTCCACTCGAGGGCGATGTGGGCGCTGTTTTCGGTCTGGGCTTCCCTCCATTCTCCGGTGGGCCCGTTCCGTTGGGTGGATCATTACGGAGCCGGAAAGCTGGTCAGCAAGATGCAGTCTTATGCCGAGCTCTACGGAGCTGCGTTCAAACCCTCCCAGACTCTTCTCGACATGGCCAAGGACCCGTCGAAGAAGTTCTACCCCAAGACTGGCTCCTCGAAGTTGTAGATCCGATCCAATCTGATCCCAGCCTCCGATAAAGCCACCAACGAAATTTAGCTTTTACTGCGAAGTCAGAATCAAGGTTATTCCTTGTGCATTTCTCTTTTAAATGTGGGGCATGGCCCCTGCGAAGCACCCTATGTTGAAGTTGTCAGACTTAAATTAAAGTTTACCATGTAATTTTCCATACTCTAAATTGTTTATTATTTTACACAGCAGTTTGATTTCCTTCACTCTCTTTATATATTTTGTTTGACTTAAACAAAAACATCTTTGTACATCGATTCTATAGTTTAAGCTTTAGAGGCAGCAGTATTATATACAGTTTTCTTAAATTTAAATATTTTTGCTCTAAACGAAGTAGCCAAGAAATCGCCTTAAACACAGAAACAGTTTTGTAATCACCCTATGTTTTGGGGATTTCTGGACTGCTTTATTTAGAGCTTAATGGCTTATCCAGGACACCCATATACATCACGTTCATTCTGTTCGATTTTGATTGAAATTTAAAAACTTATTTTTGGGGTTAATTTCGATTTTAAAGTTAAATTCCTTTCATTAGATTATTAATGTTAATGGACTGAAATCCTGACAATGTAAGAGTTGTTTAATGTTTAAAATCTTTGTAAATTTAAAAATAGAAATTATAAGAATTCAAAATCGAACAAAAGTCCTGAAACGTGAATCTTTTTGGTCCTGTACTCGTACATTACTTACTCATCTTATTGGGCACACACAACACATGAACAGTGAGCGGACTGAAGTAAGCTGGTGTAATGGTTTCCATTCAAACTTCAGTTCCACGTTAAACGTCTAACTAAACTTATTATGTTTCTAGTTAAGGATTAGTGACTTTCCGTTTCCCTTTATATTCCTTTATTGTTTTCTCCATTCCCTGCCAGTACCACGCCTTTGATGCTTCACAGATCCACCATTGCTACTTCCTCCACTGCCATTGACGACGCTGGATACTCCACCACCGTTGCAGTGGTCTTGAGCGGGATAACGGGTTACAACGTCGTCAATTAGCTCCAGGATGCCAATCTTGAACTTGCGACGCTGCTGGGGAGTAAGAGCCGCAAGATCTGGAAGGATGCTGCGAAAGAACTCCATGTCCGCTACTTCCGAGGAACTCAGTCCGCCATAGAAACTTCCTGCATTTGTCATAGTGCTGGTGGCCTCGCATTCCGTCTTGATTCTTTTTGGAACTGCCCGGTTCAAAAGACGAAGGATGGTGTTCCATCGCCATGCCTAACGGATGTGGATGTGAGTGCGGGTGGTAATGCAGAGGAGGTGGTGTGATATGACCACTATCATTATAGATGAGCTGCGAACCACTCTCCGCAAGTTGCACATCTGGAATGAAGTTCTTCAAGCTGTCCGCACTGGCCGTATCGCTCCTGGTGGGTGAATCACCTCCTCCCCTTTGTTGGGTGGTATTGTGTGTGGGCGTAGACGGTGGTCGCCGTAGACCCAGGGTGTTGGTCACCGCAGGATCAAAGGCGTCAATGGTCTCCTCATCGTCCTTCTCTGATATTGAGTACTTCATCTCCAGGACATCCTCTATATTTTCGCTATTGGTGCTAATGTTATTATTATTGATGTTGGTGGTGGAGCAATATTTGTGCTCCTCGTGGGCAAGGATGGCTGAATTCAGGAGGTATGGCTGATGCTGGTGCTGCAGGTGCTGCTGGGATATCTGATATAGCGTGGCCAGGCTATTGTTTCCTTCCAAGGAGTTGCGACTGGACTTGAGGAAGGGTAGCAGGAAGGCCATGTGCTCGGTCAGGTAGTACGGCTTGTGCTGGGGCTCTGATCCGGATTGCTGCTTTATATAGCGGGAGAGGCAGGCACGCAGATTCCGCCATCGCTCCTTACAGTGGATTACTAAAACCGGAAGAGAGTTATATTATTTAAAATAGTATATGATTTATAATTTAGATTTTAGCTTACCACTTTCTCGCGTCTCCTTTGAAATAAGCACCCAAGCCTTCTCTTGGTTGTCTCTGAAAATAGTGTTTAGATTAGTTTCAAAAATGTATTTGATATTTCGAATATGAGATTTGTTTTTAAGATCTCTTAATGTTCTTTTCCACTCTATCATTATTCAGAAATATAAAGCCTATTTATAGTTTACTATAAACTGATAATTATTACTATCATTACTAGAATTCTTAGACTTCAAAGCACAGGGTAAGACTTTTTCGAATCTAATATTTTTATTTCCATCAAGCTTTGAAGTTTAAAATAATATTCAAGAAAATAAAAGACAATTTTGTTTTTATCAAGATGGAGTTTAAAAAAACTTCATAGACTCATTGATATTTGAAGCTGTACTTTCTCATCCCAAATTCTATGAATCTGAAAGACTTTCCACTCACCTGTTGCGGTATTCTGGCACCTTTTTGTCATAGAGACATTTGTGGGTGCGCACTAGGTTGACAAAGCGAATGTTAAAGTCCTCGTCTGCCTGCATTACTCGATTCGTGGATCCAATGATGGCTCCTGCGCTCCCGGATCCTGACCCGGTTGGACTTTGGTGGTTGTAGGTGGTGGTGGTGCTGGCGGTGGTACGCTCTTCGCGGTCGTTGTTGTGGTTGTTGCTGCTATTGGTATTGCTACTGCTGCGCGTTGAGGTTGTCATATTCGATGGCGGTTTCTTGCCTCACGCAGCCTGTAAGAAATGCATATGGATATTCTTACTTTAATTGAAATTATATACATATGTACATATAGAGTGTATTCAAAGATAATAAAATTAACCTATCGAACTTAAGAAATCTTAACCTGATTTTTAGATATTTCTATCTAGTTTCCTATTTATTTTTGAGCAGTCAAACAAAGACTCTCTTCGACTCTTTTTTAGCTTTTTCGCTTTATTGTTTTTTGTTCTGGGTTTTGTGTTCGGTTTCTTTTCGTTTTGTCGTGTTATTTGTTTGTATTTGTGTTGGTTCCTGTGTTCTGTGCTGTTCTGTTCTGTTGCTGCTGTCTCAGCAAACGACGAATAGAGCTTTTCGCTCATATATATTTCGTGAAACTTAATAAAACATTGCGGCCGACTTTGTTGTAGTTGCCGTTGTCGTTGTCGTTGTAGTTGCTATTATTTTCAGTACAGTTTGGCGTTTGCCAGCTGGAAAGCAGCGAGAAAACGTTGACAACACAACGGCGAAACGACGACAGCAACTTTGTTTACTTTTCATATTATTATAGCCACAGCAGCAACAATGGCAGGGGCCATAAAAATAACAGGCAATTCGGCTGTTTGTGCTGTTTGTTTTTGTTTTTGTTATTGTCGTCGTCGTTGAAAGCTGAAAGCTTTTTGCCTGATAACAGCAACAACAGCCAACAAATTTCTGCTGCAGCAGCAGCAAAACACACTGCGGCAACAACTGCAACAGCAAGCAATGTTGTGTTGCAATATCCAAAAGCATGTTGGCCAAATGCATCGAATAGTCACGAATAAGTGTGCGAGTACCCACCGCACTCACTCACTCGCAAAGCGTTTCGCTCTCGCACCTGCGACTACCTGTTTCGATTCTAATCAGCCCACTCACTCTCACCAGTCCGCTCACTCGGCTAACTCCCCCTTCAGACTCGTCCCCTTTCAATCCCGGCGACACTTGGGCCTCTCTGAAATCTCTAACAGTTTTCCCGCCACTTTCAGCACCTTGCTAGGCCCACCAGTTTAGCACAGCGAAAAACGTGCGCACAGTGGTACGAAATTATAGAAAAAATTGGCGAGCTAAAACATTTCTAAATAAATTAATAGAATAATAAGCCTATAAAGTATATTAATAAAGTAGGCGTAGCTTAAAATTTATACCAAATATTTTTATAAATCTTCACAGACTAAAGGTTTTAACATTGTAGAGAAAATATACCTTAAATTATTTTTTATATATCTAAAATAATATCTCCAAAAGATACATTATTTACATTTTGCTGATAATCCTGATAATGTAAAAAAATAATGGCAAGCTGCCTCTAATCTTTCTAGTATTTTTGATTACATTATCATTATTTCTCTTCATCATGTTTGTTTCAATATAGGAAGAGAGTGCATTAGTTAGTGTAGTGTAAATAGAAAAGTAGGATTTTTATGTGATTTAGTTCCATCTAATCCTAATCAGTATTAGTAATCTGAGTATGCAAAACGTAAGCATTATGCGGAAATTATTTTGAAATCGATTACATCAACAAATATTTGGGATTTTCAAGTGATCTCTATCAAAACCTATAAAACTAGAACTCTACCAACATATTTTTGCATTTTTAAGATACTTTCGGCCCACTGTTCGCAGGCAGCATTGTTGTGTTGTTTGGCCAGTCATCATTATTATCAAAGAACATCATTATCAAGGCGAACGTTGTTCGCGTGTTTTGGTTCTACCCGTTGTTGTTTTTGTTAATGTTATTGTTGGAAATGTTATGTACCATGTGGGCGGGGGAAATGAGGAAAAAGGGAAGGCGCAAATGCCGAGCAAACAGCAGAAAAACAACTAACCTGGCTATAGCAATATTTATTGTATTACGTCTATTTAACATAAACATATCAGCATGAGCGTTTCAATGTGTGTTTGTATTTATTCTTTGAGAAATGTTCATGTTTATACATATTAGCAACGGGGCACAAAAAAAGTACAGCAACGTACAAAAATTGAAAAACACAGAAACAGAAACAGAAACCGAAACAGCAACAGCCAAACACAAAAACCCAACCAAAAACAAAAAGAAAAAATATATTTCTAAAGCTAACAAAACACACAGAAAACTTGCAGAAATCCCCGGCGCGCTCTTTGTTTCCCCTTCTCTACAACAAAAAAATATATAGTATATTGTATATTGCTCCGTGGCCCAATGACAGCAACAACAACAAAAGCAATAACTTTGTTAGATAGAGCAACAGCAACAGCAACACCGAAACCAACAACAACAATAGACACTCACGCACACACTTACAATCGCATACTAGGAAACAATATGGCATATAGAATTTTTCTTTCAACTGCTTATCGGGGGTATTATTGCTGTTGCTGTCGTTTTTGTTGTTGTTCTAACTTGTGATGTTTTGCGTAGAAGATTTCTTTACCTTTTGGTATTTTTCTTTGTCGGATTTTGCAGCCCCTGTTGATTTTCAAAAACTCCTGACACGAAGCCGATTTCAAAACGCAAAAACTCGCCAAGCTCCTTGTTTTGCTGTGATTTCAAAACGCGACACACACGGGGCACAAATAAAACGGCGCCAAAAATATTTTTTTTGTTGCTGCTGCAACGACCCGACTGACGTAACGTTCAAAAATGTTGAATTCAAAAACTCGTGGTCGGCGGTGCACGGTGGTCGGGAATTGGCGGCGGACTGTTCGATTGTTGGCAATGTCGTATGTTTCGCCTTCCAAGCGACGAAGGCGACTAAACACACAGAGATACAGGCACAGACACTGGCACAAATGCGATTGCCAGCCAGCGAGAGCGAGCGGTGCACTGAACAAAATGAATTTTTGATTTTCGAAATTTCGATTTTATTTTCATGAAACCATCAATAATTATAAATTTGAATATAACCATTGTTCTAACATTATGATCATTAAAAACATTTTTGGTAATATTTATCAAATTTAATCCCTTTTTCCCTCTCAATTTAAGTAAAAAACTATTTTGGAAGGTTTAATTCTTTCAATAATAAATTAATAAATAAATATTTTTTTGGATATTAAACTCGTTTATAGTGGTGTATGTCAAAAAATTAAATTTTAATTAAATATTTCGTAAAAATCAAACAATTTTTTCGTGTGCATCACCCAGTATCTATCGGCTACGTAGAACACTGAAGCAACAACACACGACACGAGCGGACGGCGAGCAAACAGAGAACAACGCACAAAACCCCGCTCTCCGCCGCACATACAGCTACTCACACGGACACACACCAATGCGCCAATACAAACACATACAGCTGGTGTTGAGCAGCAGGCAACTTTTTATTGTTGTTGCTGTTTCCAACGAACAACAAATAAGACAAACAATGCACACACACACACACATATATATGCCGAGTGTTTTCGAGTCGGAGAAACGGCAACTGCGCGGTACGAAATGCAAAGATATAGATGCAAAAGGGAAGAAAGGGGAGGGAAACGGCGCAGGCCAACAAAATTTGTTGCACTGTGACCAGAATGTTGCATGTCCTCATAGGCTAAATCACCCCGAAAGGATCTATCAAAGGATCAGAGGATTGTAGGGTACCTGTACATGCAGGAACAGCCGTCCTTGCCGAGAAGAGCTAAAAATACGAATGTTTATATTAACAATTGCACTGTTTTTAAGTCAGTAATCCTAAAATAAAACTTTTACATTTAAGAAATTGCTTGTCGTTACGTGTGTGTTAATAATGCAGGAAAATTATCAAACTAAAATTTAATAAACTAAAAGATAAGAATCTACCTAAGCCTTTAAACAATTTGTTTTGCTAATAACTTATGTCCAATCATTTTCAAATTTAAAAATTCTTTTTCAATATCAAGGGAATATTTCAAAAATACTTTCTCTGTTTTATATAATTGAAAATTTTGAATTATTGGTGTTTTTATCTGTCTTTGCTGAAAAATCTTATTGTAAATGTTTCTGTAACTGAAATTTCTCGATAAACCTTCAATAAATACTTTTCGTAAACAAGTGACCTTGCCATAAAGTAATTACACGATTTTTCAAAATCTGTCACTTCCATTCCATCACTTTTTAATCTCCGTAACAAAGAAATAATCCAAAACAAACAAAAATCGTTTTACCTGAAAAGTGTACCTGGAAATTCCCAGTGATCGTCGTTCCAATGTGCGCCTTCTTCTTCTTCTTCTTCTTAACTCTAACTCTCATGAAACATTGAAACAACAACAGTTGCTTACTCAGCCACACACGCACACACACAAACGTATAAATGCTCACTGTCACTCTCACGGACAAAACAACAGCTGCCCGCTCTCAGAACCAACAACAAGGCAAGCAAACAAAAATCATTTTGTTGTTGCACAAAAAGCTTAGCGAATTTTCTGCCGCTGCCGACGTCGCTGCTTTATTTGCTGCTCGTGTTTCCAACAAGCTTTTTTCCAACAACATTTGTTTACCTTTTACGTTTTAATAGGCAAGAGCTTTAAACGAACATTTGAAGGGGTTTCGTTCGCTGAACGATAGGTGGAGCTCTCTGCTTCCGGTGAATGTTTTCTAAGGCATTATAGGATTATTTTAATATTTAAGAAATAATAATAAAAATCTTACAATTGGTTAGAAACATAAATATTAATATTTTATACTGATTTACAATTATAGGATAAATCATATTTAAACAAATATCAAATATCTATAAAATATTAGTTTTTTCACAAATAAAATAAATTGTATCGATAAATGTATATTAACTAACTTTGTATCCCCTTTACGTCTGTTTCCAATATTTTGAGTATTTTCCAGTTGACTCGGATAAAAAACAGAATATTTATCCAAAAATTACGCACCTTCATACTTCATCTCTGATGACATTGTTCCTTTGACACTAACGGTCATCGAAAATATGATTATTCAAACACTCGCTAATAGGATTCTCATTGGCTAATAAAAGCTCTTTCATGCTAGGAAGGTGTTCCGCCTGACAGTCGAGCGCCACCCCAGCTATTTCCAACACTTTAATGATTTGTTTACAACTTTGTTGCCCTGCAATTTACCGCTAGCATACGGACCTGCCAGCCCTCTAGCTTTTTTTTACCCCTTTCCGCTTGTTCTTTTGCCTGGAAAAGCTTTTCTCGGCGGCCAGGATGTCGTGTCCTGCGTGTACTTAAAAATTCAATAAAAAGGAGGCTCGTTTCTGTTGTGGCCTACATGCTACAGCCGAGCAATCGGTTCAAAAACCCGACTGCCAGCCGATGGAAACTTGGTCACCGGGTGGTAAATGGAAATCGAGGAAAAATGGATAAGGATGGGTAAGCAAACGAGGCAAACGAGGCAACGAGGAGCAAGGAGAGAGCTTCCAAGTGCAATGGAGCTCAGTTGCCAAAGGACAGTCGAGGCGAGTGGTCGTCCTTGGTCGCAACGGGCTCTCGGAAAAGCGGTACTTCGTCCTTCGAGTGTCAGGATTGTTTTGGTTACGCGATTGCCTCGGTGTTGGTGAACATCATCATCTGTGCGCTTGTGTGTCTGTGTGAGTGTGTGTTTATGTGGGCTTAAAAATATATTCGACATGAATTATTTACCCAAAACGAAAGCTGGAAAGTTTTGAAAAGTGCGGACAACGACGGAGTTGAGTCAGCGGAAAGTTTCGACTCTAGCACTTTGACGGGCAATTTGCAGCGGCGTCAAGGATGCAGGCTTCTTCTCGCTGGGATGTGGAATGCATTTTCCGAAGCGCAGTACGTGTTACTCTGTCTCTTTTTAGTAAGAACCCACCGAATTTCCCGCTCTCTCTTTCTCTCTCTCTCTTCTACTCACACATTTGCTCCCCATTGTTTTCTCTGTCAGAGTGTAGAGTTTCGATTTCGTTAGAAAATCGAAACAAAAGCGGGACAGGCTCTCGAGGAATTGTGGGTGTCGTTGCTGCGGCTACCTGTAGATGCCACATAAACACACACAGATACGCGGCGTGGAGTGAATGTGTGCGAGTGGCTGGCGAGTCCTTGAACAAGGCTTTCGGTCGCCCACCCACAGCCCACCGTCCACAACCATCGTGTCCGTATCCGTGTCCATGGCTGCCTTTCACTGCCCGCTTCCGATTCTAATTAATTTATAATTCAAGGTCCAATGCGCTGCCATTGAAGGTTAAACATGACGAACTAGCGATATTCTTTGGGTGTTTTCTTTCGTATGTAACTTTTAAACTGTTCCCCGTCTGTAGTAATTGGGGGATTTCCGCGGAAGCTGCACACAACTTTGTGCCAAGAATGGGCAGGAGTCTAGACTCAAGTTTAACTGGGAAATCGTGTAATCCGATAAAGTGGAAACTTAACCGGGGATCATCTTGTAGTTAAGCACGCGCACACAAGCTGTAATTTAATTTGCCTGTCGAGTATCTGGGGAAAACTCGTTGGCAATTAAGGCTGGCTAAACAATAAACCCCTGGCCAAAAAACACTTGACGCTCTAGAGTGGAAAAACCGCATTACGCATACGCCACATCGGCAGTCTGGCAACTTTGAGGTACCTTCGAGTAGGAGGAACGGGGAACAAGGGGAAAAGCTCTTCACCGCTGACCACTAACGGTGCCATCTTCATTCTCTCACCTCTCAAAAAATAAAAATGAAAAAAATCCCGCCCCAAAATGCAGCGAAGAGCGGCGAGCGTCTTACTTTTTTTTCGGTTCCTTTTGCCGAAAAACATTTTCATTTCTCGCCTGAGCAGAAATTTCAATGATTTCCCTTGCTCAGTGTGAAACGAACCAACAACTCAAACGAAACGAACGCGAACGCGCGCGCGAGAAATACAAACTAGAATAGAATAGAACACAAATTAACCTCTATCCCCGACTACCCCCCACAAACACGAAGCACTGCGGACGGGGGCCCTAACCCAATCCTAACAATAAACAATAATCGAAACAACGAAATTTAAATTAACAGCGAATGAGTAATACCTGAGCGATTTATTAATCCGATTGCACGACCACGTCAGAGGCTGAGCGAGCAACAAAGAATCCACAAGTAGCTGGCACACGGAAAGATAAATAACTGCACAGATAATTGCTATAGTCCTCGGTACTGGGTACTCTAAAAATAACCCACGAAATTATTTACGGAGACAATTGCAGGGCATTGTGGGCAAAGTGGCTGAGCCGTGCCGAACGGAACTCTGAGGATCTGTGAGTAGACATTATAATATCGCCATACCTCCATCCCATATGCCAACGTATCCCGATCGGCTGGGTGGAAAATCGAAATAACAAACTTCAGTCACCTCGCGGTCTGCGTCACACACACACGGATATCTAAACTAGTGGTATGAGAGTCGTGTGGCATGTGCCCTTGCCTTCTCCATCTTCGCAGTTACAGTGAAGTTTCTATAATTTAAACTTTGTTTTTTAAGAAACAATCCATCAAAAATTAATTAGTAATAAGAGTTTAGTTTATCTAGATTAAAAGAAAATATTGACTTGGACTTTTGGGATACTTTTTATTCTTATCTTCTAATATTCAATAAAGAGCAGGGTTTGTCATATAGATTGTAAGATACCCCAATGGTTTCAGCAATGAAGAAACATCCTTTTAAAATATCGAAAAATATTTTCAGATGTCTAAGTTTTCAATGAAGCTAATATTTGATTAAAGAATTTTGCCTAGCATGACATATAATTCCAGCATAAGAAACTCTAATTTTGAATTCCCCATTTATGGATAAGGGACGTCCCACTGTATATATCATTTGCCATGTTGTTAC